GGGTCACGGGGGGGGGAGCTGTTGGCTGAAACGTGCTCCTTCCCTCCTCCTCCACCCCATCTCCGTGGGACAGGAGAGGCACAGAGCCGTCTCTTCAGAAAGTGGGTGGCAAAGCTAAGCGGCACGGAGGCTGTGTGCAGTGTGTCCTGCAGAGAACTCACTGTAATCCCAGGCTCATTGCCGCCTGGCTCTCCACTGTCCCCTGGGAAATGCCAGTGACACGGGCTGAAGGAGGGACTGACTGAAGGGCGCCTGGATGAGGGGTTAGCAGTCCCGTCTGCAAAGACAGAACCGGAAAGGCGGTCCGGGCCTGAGGGGGTGGGTACGGGACAGTTTTGGTTTTGACAAGACTTCTGGGGGTGGACGGCGGTGCTGGCTGCATAACAGCATGAATGCAGGTAATGCCCCCGAACTGTACACTCAGAAATGGGGACAATGGCAAATTGTATGTTACATGTGATTTACCGTAATTTTGAAAAATAAATAATTGGTTTTTAATGTTAATGGCAGAGACTGTGGGTTGTTCTCTTCACTGCTGTCTCCCCAGCACCCAGCAGAGTGCCCAGAACATAGTAGGTGCTCAGTAAAAGTACAACGAACAAGTGAATGATTTAATGACTGAAGGGCTAGAGGGTAAATGAAGTGAGCTGGCCACGGGGGCACTGTCCCTGCTTGTCTACTTCGGTGCTCAGGAGAGGGTTCTAAAAAGTATGCATCTTGCCCGAGCTCTCCCCTTCCGGACCTGTTAGCAGAACTGACTGCTGGGGGAAACACGTGCTGGCTAAGACCTGCACTGCTCTCCCGTCAGGAGCCCACCCTCCCTCCTGCCCTCCGCCCCCACCAACCAACCGCGTTTCTGTTTTTCTGCAGCTGCGCCTCCTCAGCCCTGGCTCCAGCTCAGCCCTCTGCCCCTCCGGGTGGGCTCGGGGCCACATGTCCTGGGATTTACATCCAAACTAATTCCCAGGGTCACGGGGGCAGCCATTGTGCTTAGAGGTGCACACGTTAGGGCCATAGCTTTATGTTTATGTTTTATTTTTTATTAGACAAATAGCTTTTGAAGACAACTAGGAAATACGTCTACATTGAAAATAATAAAACCCACCATTTGTCCCCGCGGCTTCAGGGCAGCTCCCTGTCAGCGTTCATAGCAGAAGAAAAAAACAGCTCTCACAGTCTCAGTTGTTTTTTTTTTTCCCTAGGACAATCTATCTGCTTATATTTGAACTGAAATTTTCCAATCCCTAACAAAAGGAGAAAATAAACATTTCCCCTGCCTGCCCCAAGCAGGTCACACTCAGAACAACTTCCCTTTCCCTCCCTTCCTGCCTTCCTCCCCCTCCCTTCCTGCCTTTCTCTTGCTGTCACTAAGCATGACACTCAGTCACTACCCATGTATTCATTCATTGCTTGCTTCTTGTACGTGCCCTGACTTACGTGCCCTGACCGGGGATCGAACCACAACCCTGGTGCATCGACAACCTTGGTGCATCAGGGGCAACTCTAACCAACTGAGCTACCCAGCAAGTGCAGGTGTTCACTCCTTAACACTGGATCTTTCAGATTTCATCAGGAACTTTTCAGTCAGACAATAAACTGAGAATTAAAACCTTTCACCACAAGAGGGCAGTAGATGCCCCTCAGTGTGGACGTCTGGTTTGGGATGGAGGGAGAAAGCACTGGGCTGCGAAGGAGCCAAAGGTCATCAGACCTCTGCCTCTCCTCCTGTGGATGGATGGGAAGAGGGAGATGTCTGAGATCATGGAGCTGGTCCCAAAGCCAGAGTGTCCCTGAGGTGCCACTCTCCAAAAAGGTTAATGTGTCCCCAAGTTAAAGAACGAAATAGGAGCTACCCTATTAGGAGTAGCAGTCTAAATATGACGTGGAAGTCGAGCCCACGGACGGGAAATAAGAACAGGGGAAAGCCACGCTGACAACCAAGGCTGTTTCTAAGGCACAGAGGACACAGCGTTCACGGCAATGATTTCCAAGGACTTGGCCAGAATGGTAAAACTGTCCTGACTGACGTGACTTCTCTCGAGCCCCAGAAAATGACCCCTTCCCTGGTAGGACCAGCAAACTGTCATCTCGATTGTTCCTCAGTCCAAGAGACAGTGTCCAGACACAGCCACTGTCTGGACGCAGTGCAGACTGCCAAAAGTGACACCTCAACCTCACGCTTTCTGTGCGGTCTGATGGGGCAGGGACACAGCACTTCCACCTCCCAGGCCTTGGACGGCAGGCATTGGGAGAGATGGCCAGGGGACTCTCAGCAGCCAGATCCCCGCGTTGGCTCCTGCAGATACCGGAGCCTGAGAGCAGAGACTGCGCTGGAAACAAGAGGGAACGAACAGGAGGGCTTTTCGGGAAGTGTTGCTCTGACCTCGTTGTTGAATGAACCCTGGCGGAGGAGGGGCGCCATGACTCACAGATGATGCATCTCAGGCTGAGGCCAGGGCGGTGGGTTGGGGTGGGGTCAGGGGCACCGAGGCAGAGCCAGCCTGGGGGACTGGACCGAGAAAGCTGAAGCTGCCAAGTGCTGTTTTGGAACTGAATTGCATGGCTGGAAACACAGGTTAGGTGAGAAAAGAGGTTTTAGAGAGACAGATGAGGACCATAAACAGAAGACGTAGAAGTTAAAGTTAACCCTTAAATACAGCCCACCATGGAAAGGAAATAATCCAGGTTTGGGGGTTGTTTTGGTCTCTTCACTGGATGGAAAGAAGCACTGAACATCTTAATTTCATTACTGTGCCTGCCCTTCATGTGACATTGTGATTTATCACAAGAAACACATGCTGGTCTCTGTCCCCAGTGCCTGACACGAAGCTCCTGAAACCTTTGTTACTTCCTGGGTGACGGGCACACCTCTCGTTCTAACGAGCTGACTCCAGGTGGGCTGCTGGAAGGGGGCTGGACGCCGGGAAGACCAAGCTGTGATTAGAACCATGGGACTAGCAACCCTGCCCCCCATTCTCCAGAGAGTGGAGAAGGGCTAGAAGTGGAGCTAATAACTGATCCTAAGGAAGCCTCCACAAAATCCCAACAGCACCGGGTTCAGAGAACCACTAGGTTGGAGAGCACGTCCACACAGGGAAGGTGACACACCCCAACTCCACAGGGCAGGGGCTCCTGCAAATCAGAACCTAGCAGCCATTTCCGCAGGAGCCCGTCACACAGATGGCCCTTCAGGGAGAAGTGTGCACTAACTTATTTGCCTTTGCACTTAACTGCCAGCCTGCACTATGGTTTTGATATCTGAGCCAGCTCTTAAAACAGAGTTCCCAGAATCCCATTTCAACCAATGGGACTGAGGCTTGCCCCAGCCAATCAGGAATGCACAGGGACTTCTGGCCAAGATGGAGGTGTAGGTAGATACTCTTGGCCTCATCGCACAACCACAAGAAGGACTACAACCAATTTAAAAACAAAAAACAACCGAAAACGCCAAAAAAATCGAACTGTATGGAAGTCTGACAACAAAGAAGTTAAGAAACATTCATCCAGACTGGTATGGGGGGAGGAGATGGGCACCTGGGTGGAGGACTCGCAGCAAGGCAGCAGCTGGCAGGCAGGGTGGTCCCACATTTGTGTGCAGATAAACTGGGAGGAACAACTGGGGAGCGAGACAGACCACACAACCCAGGGTTCCAGTGCGGGGAAACAGAGCCTCAGAACCTCCGACTGAAAACACCTGTGGGGGTTGAGGCACTGGGAGGAACTCCCAGCCTCACAGCAGAGTTTGTTGGAGGGACCCACAGGGTCCTAGAATGTACACAAACCCACCCACCTGGGAATCAGCACCAAAAGGGCCCAATTTGCTTGTGGGAAGCAGGGGAAGAGACTGAAAGCCAGCCAAGAGCCAAGCAAGCAGCACTGTTCCCTCTTGGACCCCTCCCCCATATACAGAGCAACAACACGCAGTGATATGGGTTGCCCCACCCTGGCAAATACCTAAGATTCTGCCCCTTACTACATAACAGGCATGCCAAGAAAAAAAATATGGCCCAAATGAAAGAACTGATGAAAGCTCTAAAAATAGAACTAAGTGATGAAGAGATAGCCAACCTATCAGATGCAGAAAACACTGGTAATCAGGATGCACACAGAAACAGTTGAGTATGGTCACAAAATAGAGGAAGAAGTGAAGCCTAAGCAAAGTAAAATAAAGGAAAATGTAGAGAGAACCAATAGTGATGGGAAGGAAACCAGGACTCAAATCAATGGTTTGGAGCAGAAGGAAGAAATGAACATTCAACCAGAACGGAATGAAGAAACAAGAATTCAAAAAAAAGGAGGAGGGGCTTAGGAACTTCTGGGATAACTTTAAAAGTTCCAACATCTGAATCATAGGGGTGACGGAAGAAGAGGAAGAGCAAGAAATTGAATACTTATTTGAACAAATAATGAAGAAAAACTTCCCCAATCTGGTGAAGGAAATAGGCTTCTGGGAAGTTCAGGCAGCTCAGAATTCCAAACAAGTTGGACCCAAGGAAGCATACACCAAGGCACATCATAATTACTTTACCCAAGATTAAAGATGAGGAGAGAATCTTAAAAGCAGCAACAGAAAAGGAGACAGTTACCTACAAAGAAGTTCCCATAAGATTATTGGCTGATTTTTCAAAAGAAACCTTGCAGGCAAGAAGGGGCTGGAAAGAAGTATTTAAAGTCATGAAAGTCAAGGAACTACATCCAAGATGACTCACTCCATCCAGCAAAGCTATCATTTGGAATGGAAGGGCAGGCAGATAAAGTGCTTCCAAGATAAGATCAAGTTAAAGGAGTTCATCATCACCAAGCCCTTATTATATGAAATGTTAAAGGGACTTATCTAAGAAAAAGAAGACAATAAAAAATATGAACAGTAAAATGACAACAAAGTCACAAGTATCAACAACTGAACCTAAAAAAAAACAAAAATAAAAACAAACTAAGCAAGTAACTAGAACAGGAACAAAATCACAGAAATGGAGATCACATGGAGGGTTAACAGCAGGGAGGGGGTGGGAGGAGAATGAGGGAAAAAGTACAGGGAATAAGAAGCATAATTGGTAGGCACAAAATAAACAGGGGGGAGTTAAGAATAGCATGGGAAATGAAGAAGCCAAAGAACTTATATGCATGACCCATGGGCATGAACAAAGGTGGGAGAATGTTAGTGGGAGGGGGAGTACAGGACAGAGGGGAATAAAGGGGAGAAAAAAATGGGACAACTGTAATAGCATAATCAATGAAATATTTTTAAAAAAGAAAAAAGTGCACAGCTATGTCCCCACCCATCAATATCTTTACCAACCAATCAGGAGTTTTTTTGGACCTATCAAATTTTGAAGATTTGAAATCCTCATTTACATGAGGATGGGCCAATCAGGGACCAGGGGCAGGGACTTGTGTCTATATAAGGCAGCTCCCCTGTGGCTTTGAGAGTGCTCTTTCCCTTTCTGTAGGAATTTGAAGACTGTTTCCCCAGCTAGACTGGCAGGAGCTGGAACAAAAAGTCGTCTCCTAGGGCAGAGCAGAACTGTCAGTTGCTGCATTAACTCCATGAGGGCTACTGATTTCTCCACATCTTTAAGAAAACAAATACTAGTGCTTTTCTTTCTTTGAAGGTAGAATGTTAACAGTGCTTCTGCCTGTGTTCATGGTAGACCCAGCTCACTGCAGCTGCAAATTAGTTTCCTAGCGTTCTCACCTGTGAGGTAGTTACAGCTGGCCTTTGGGGCTCCTGGAGGAGGTGTATTGGTTTGGTTTTAAAAAACAAGGAGGAGCTGGAGAGAAAGGAAAACTATTCTGGTTAAAAACTTTTTAACTGCTTCTAAATCTAATAAAACTTGAGTCCATTGGGAATACTTATTCTGAGCCTGTTATACACAGAATACCCATTTAGCTTTTATGAGATTTCCTTTTTATGGATTGTAGATGCTGGAGCCATCATTATTTTAGATGTAACTGCTCCCCTGGAAACACCCAAAGGGACAAGTGCCCAGGGAGCTGACAAAGAGCTGGAGTCATGGGAGGAGCATCATTCGGGCCAGTCATTGAGGCTGAGACTGTGTGGACTGAAAACGGAGCCGTGCTCTGGTGGCAGACGCGTGGCTTCACGAAGATGTGCTTGCGTGCCTTCCCCCCACAGCCCCGCTGCTCGGCTGAGTCTGATTCCCACACTGGGGCCAGTACGTGGACAGCAGTGCCGTCATCCGGCAGTGATGGCAACCACATCAAGAGGACAACCCTGAGAGCTGGCCCTGCCTGGCGCTCCCTCCGCACCACACGCCATGCTCAGTATATTTCCCCGTCATCTCCTGTAATCCTCCGGATGCCAAGAACCAATGCAATTCCCCTTTCGCAGGTGAGAAAACTGTCACACTGAGAGATTAAGAAACTGTTTGTGTACCCAGGTAGTGAGTGAGTCATCAGACCTCAGAACCCGAGCTTCCCCCATGATTCTGTATGGAATTCTATTCTCAACCTAAACAAGTTCCATCCGTCACAATTCTTAGGGAGAAATGATGTTTACAGAAATAATGCCTCTCGGGTTATAAATTATATATATATGGGCTTATATATTTTATATACTTACATATATATTGTATGTGTGTATATATATATTCATATACTATTCTCACCCAAGGACATTTTTTCATTGCTTTTAGAGAGAGAAGGGAGAGAGAAACAGCAACGTGAAAGAGAAATATTGAACAGCTGCCTCCTGTATGTGCTCCGACCGGGGATCAAACCTGCAACCTAAGTATGCGCCCTGATCAGGAATTGAACCCACAACCCTTCAGCTACAGGACGATGCTCCAACCAACTCGGTCACACCAGCCTGGGCATAAATTATATTTTTCACTGTGTGTCATACTATTAAGTGGTAAGGAAGGGGAAGAAAGAGAATAAGGGACCATTGAGTCATTTTTCACAACAGGTCAAATGTATGCATGAAAATTCAGATGTAGATAAACCGGGAACAGCCTCTGATGGAACTGAGTTCCATCAAACCCAAAAACTTACAGGCTCAGTGAAACCAGCCAGTTCCTCGGCTACACCTGACATTTCTCATTTCAAACCAATGTGTCTGTTTTTCCCTCTAAAAACCGTGGGCCTCACAAACAGCACACCTGGCCTGCATTGGGGGGAAGCAGCAGCCCCAACACTCACACGCAGACCCCGTGGAAGACCAGGAGTTGTGTTTAGTGGAAGTGAGACCTCCAGCTGCAACGTAATGATATGCTAATGAAGGCAAAACACTGCTCACCCACATGCAATTCAATTCCTACTTTGCGCTGCCCCATGTATTTAGCTGACAAAATGAGAAGGTATAGGATGCAGAATAAACATGAGGCCGACCTTGCAAAGGTCAAAAGAACAGACGTGTTCTCCAGGCTTAGTTTTTTTCACTGTTCGCGGAAGGACAGTGTTTTCTTGAGGCCCCCTCTTCAGGGGGCCTGGCCCACAAACGGGGCCAAGGTGGTAAGTGGGTGCGGTGTGTTCCTTTGTGCTCTGAGTGCAAATGTTATCATTTGAGGGTTTGCACAAGACGTGACACTGACACACCTGTGAAGACAAAGGGGGAAAATGGTCAGTTTTCAACCTCACAGGACTATCATGTAGGGGGAGTGACGGTTCAGGCTTCTTAACATCTTTAAGGGAAGAAATCAGAGTACAAAGAGCAGCCATTTGAGGACTCTGGGAAGTAAACCATAGGAGGGGACTGGGGGGGAGGCAAACTCCAAGAGGCAACTTGTGTATAGGTGGTGGCGGGGATGGGGGGGAGGAGCGACTTTTTTATTCTTTTCTCTCTCCTGGCTTTGACCTGAGGCCGCCCCAGTTGGAACTGTGCGACTCTGACATTTGGGTCCCGGGTCCCAGAAACGCGCTCTCGCACATCAGACTGTGCAAGAGAATTTCTTTTTTCCCTGCAGGCCCTGCCCTGAGAGCAAAGGTCTCTAAGGTAGGTGGCAGGGGGAACAGCTGTCATTCAGAAGGAAAGTCTGGATTTCTAGCCATAGGACTGTGGAAGGGGACCCTGGGAGCCAAAGAGCGTCCAGGGAGTCACTGAGAGGAGACTGGAAAGGGGGAGGGGTGCATCTCCTAATTCTGTGTATAACTGGGCACAAGTCCGCAGCTTGCCCTTGAACTCTGCATGTGCAGGTCAGGCCCAGAGGAACCGGCAAAAGCTGTGAGAACAGAACTGCTAATGAAAACAGCTGCCTGCATCCCAGGCCCAGCTCTGAGCAGCCTGTCCGTGAGGCAGACCACAGGGCACAAAGTGATGCTGGTACCACACCCCTCACAAAAGGCAAAATAGAACCTGTGGTAGGAGCCTAACCAGGTGCCTGTAACATCTCCAAACCAGCATCCTCCCGAGGATTTTATCAGGACACAGAGTCTCCCAACAAAATCATCAAAATGTCAAAAACTGTTCAGCTTACAAGGAACCAGGAAAATGTGAACAATCCTCAAGGGAAATGAAAATCAATAGATACCAACCCTGAGCTGACCCAGATATTGGAATTAACAGAGGTTTTACTGCGGCTGTTACAACTGTGCTCTGTGGGGAAAAGGTAAACACACATCATATAAATGGAAAGAGAGACATTCTCAGCAGAAAATGGAAACTATAAAAAAAAATGGAACCTGCAGAACTGAAAAATATAGTGTCCGAAACAAAATAGCAGAGTGGGGTTGACAGTGAAAAGAGTTAGTGAATGTGAAGATAAATCACAAGAAATTATTCAATTTGAGGAACAGAGAGAAAGATGATTAAAAACAACTGATCAGAGCTTCAGGGACCTCTGGGACAACATGAAAATGTCTAACATTTGTGCCATGGGAGTCCCAGAAAGAGAAGAGAGAGGTCGGAGCAGGAAAATATCAGAAGAAATCATGTCCCAAAACTCTCAGACTTGGTGGAAGACACAGATCGACAGATTCAAGACAATGACGCATCAAACAGGAGAAAGTCGAAGACTCTCAGACTCAGACGCATCGTAAAAAATTGTAGAAACCAGAGACAAAAGAAAGCTTCTGCAAGCGGCCAGGTAAAGTGACATGTGACTTACAAGGCAATGATCGGAACAGCTGCCGGGGACGGCTCATCAGGAAGTGCGGGGGACAGAGGGCAGTAGGACAACATTCTGTAGTCAGTGAAAATATTCTTTGGGAATGACAGCAAAGTAAAGACAGGCTCAGGTGAAGGGAAACTAAGAGAATTTGCCGCCAGCAGACTTGCTGAAGAAAAATGCCCCATGAAGTCCTGCAAGCTGATGGGAAGAGATGGAAACTTGCTACTTCAGGGCCGAAGGGACAGCAACAGAATCAGCCCCTATCTGACTAAATACGATAGACCGTTTTCTTCAGTACATGCTCACTGCTGAAGAAAAAAACTGCAGCATCGTCTGGTGGGATTTTTGGTGAATAAAGGTATAATACTGTACATAGGACAACTGTAATTTACAGAGAGTGAAGGGTTTGTATGTGTGTAAGATTTGTACACTTTATGTGAATTGGTAAAATATTAAATCTAAGAATAACTGTGAACTGTTAGATGCGTATGTTATAATCTCTAGTGCGACCACTATAGAGTGGTAACAAGAGGTATGGACCAAAGAACCAAAAGAGTCTACGGCCATACCACCCTGAACGTGCCCGATCTCGTCTGATCTCGGAAGCTAAGCAGGGTCGGGCCTGGTTAGTACTTGGATGGGAAAAACCAATAGATAAATGAAAACAAAGGACTAAAAAAATCAAATAAAAAACGTAGGAAAGGAGGGACAGAGGAACAAAGAACAGTGGATGCAAACAAAACAAAGGTAAGATGGGGGCCTTAGTCCAATTCTCAATAATGACATGAATGGTCAAGGACGCAAACACACCACTGGGGAAACAGACATGGTCAAGTTCGATTCAGTACAGACGATGCAACTATGTGTTACATTTAAAGAAACCCACCTTAAATATAATGACAGAGAGAGGTTAAAAACAGAAGGATGAAATAAGATATTCTACAAAAGGACTAGCCAAAAGAAACTGGAGTAGCTACATTGATATAGACAAAGTAGACTTCAAAACCAGAAATATAACCAGGGACGAAAAAAACATTACCTAATGATAAAGGGATCGATTCACCATGAAGACATGCCATCTCCAAATGTGCTCAAATAACGAAAGAGCTTCAAAATATTGAAGCAAGACACGAGTGAACTGTTTAGCAAAAAGGATACATTTCAATGCATGATCATTTAAAATTTGGTAATTGAAAAACATTTTAAAAGAAATCCACACTCCTCATTTGAGTCCAACCTGAGCTACCCAGCCCAGTTCAAAAGATGGTGGGGTTACAAAGCAGAGTTTCAAATCAATGAGGGGAAATTTGCTTTTGTTGGTGCTGTTTCACTTTGATAAAACAGAATCAAGAAGGGATGTAAATGTGCTATGCCACGTTATTAAATAACATAGCAACCACTGTCAACAGATTTTTTTAAAGTAGGAGAATATTTACCTTTAAAATAGAAATAATGATGAGCTCCGTAAGGTGGTACCTGGTTTCCTTGTATCATGTACACAAGCAATTTCTTCCTCTGGAATGGTCCCATCTTTGGATTCTTTTCACTATTTTTCTTTTACTCCAAGAGGGCTACGAAAATCCTTATATTCCTCACCTGTGCTTGAAATAAAAATATAAAGAGTGAAATGCAGGCGGTCAGGAGCAGAAATAAGACTCCCATAGTGCCCAAAACCTGGCTGCAGCAGGCAGCCGCAGTCACATCAAAGCATGTTTTAGCTTCTTTCTTTGCTACATGACCATTTGAACAGCGCTTTGTCTTAGACACTGTGGATTAGATTGACAGGCGCTTGGTAAAGACAGAGTTATGCATACAAGTCTTCCCAACAGGGATGACCATTCGTGGGCCTTCAGTTGTGGCCCATTCTGTCCACAAATGGTACAAGTCCATCCAAGGCAACAGACCATTAAGCAAAAATATGTCTCAGCACTTTGTAGAAGGGAATGCTCTGTAAGGACTAAATATTTTTAAATTACTTTTTAAAATGCCTTTACCAAAAAGCAAAAACATACCATTTTCCTTAGCAATTTCTCAAAAAAAAATTTATTCCCATGGGATAAAAAAAATTTAATAAGGCAAAACATACAACTAAATGTCAAGTATAAAAAATATTAATATTGGCCCTGGCTGGTGTGGCTCAGTGGATTGAGCACTGGCCTGCAAACCAAAGGGTCGCTGGTTCGATTCCCAGTCAGAGCACATGCCTGGGATGCAGGCCAGGTTCCCTGGTATGCAACCACACACTGATGTTTGTCTCCCTCCTTTCCCGTCTAAAAAAATAAATAAAATCTTTAAAAAATATATTAATAGTGTATGCTGCCAGGTGGGTACTGGAAATATCCAGGGATCACTCTGTAAAGAATATGATTGTCTAACCAATCATATTCTTTACAGAGTGAAACTAATACAAAACAATACTGAATACAAACTGTAAATGGAAAATAAAATTTAAATTGAAAAAACCCTAGGCAATAACTAGGTATTATTTCTGTGTTTTTACCATTCAGCAGAGTGCTTGGCACATAATTTCCAATTAGCTACATTTTCTACATGATCATGGAGAATGGGTTAATTAATAGATTTAAACATACTATCATTTTTAAATCTTTAAAAAACAGCCCTGGCTGGTGTAGCTAGCTCAGTGGATTGAGTGCGGGCCTGGGAACCACAGGATCACTGTTCGATTCCCAGTCAGGGCACAAGCCTGGGTTGCAGGCCAGTTCCCTGCAGGCCAGGTCCCAGCAGGGGGCGCACAAAAGGTAACCATACATTGATGTTTCTCTCCCTCTCTCCTTCCCCCCTTCCCCTCTAAAGATAAATAAATAATAAAAAATAAATAAAATAAAAGCTTTAAAAAACAATTTCTGCTCAAAAAATTTTTAATAAGATAAAAGATACATGCCCCTGTAATTCCAAATGTGGAATTATTCTGTTTTTATTTACCTTTGATTATCAGAGCCGAGTACAATTGTGACAATAACTTGACGTCTATTAGAAAATCCAAAGACCGGCCTCAAATAGCTTGAAAGCTTCCGAGGTCCCAGAGACTGCGTAGGCGGGAAGCAGTCTCAGACCCTCCCCCACGTCAGTGGTCCGTGCAGGGGGGGGCGCAGGTGGGACGGAGACTTACACCTGGATACCTAATACCTCGGGACAGGAGCTGTGCCGGTGACACCCGAAGGGCACAAGAGATGAAATCCCTTGTTTCTAGAGATGGAGAAAGAAACTGGGCCCCGCCCGGGCCTCACCAGTCAGGGACTCTGACCCCCAGCACCCAGCCCGGGACTCCGACTCTCCCCACACACCTTCCAAGGCTCCGGCCAGTAAAGTGCCTCCTGCGTCTCCTGGCCAAGCCCCTCCTGACTTCCCAACTTTGTCCCTTCTGGCTCCGCCATTACTGAACCAGGAACTCCCCACGGGCACCGACTAGCTCCGCCTCCAGCCCGGGCCACAAGACCACGCCCTTCTATCCCCCAGCCTTGCCCCCGCCCTTTCGCACCTGCGCCACGCCCTCCCAGCACCTGTCTGACCCCGCCCATCCTCTGCCCAGGCGCGTTCCTGAGCGCCCAGCGCCAACACTCGGATACGGCCCAGACTGCTGCGTCAGGGCCCGCCACGCCCACTCTCGCCACGCCCACCCAGGCTCCGCCCCACCCTGACCCCCAGGAGAGTAGGCGGAGGGACACTTGGAGGCAGATGGTGCAGAAGTTGGCTCCACTGTGTGGACCCCAGATGCGCCTCCTCACCCCGCCCCTGCACTTCCAGGGCGGCAGGAGCTCATACCTTTGGAGGCCCGAGGGAAGCCCAGGCTCAGGCTGGGATCCATCTTCTAGAACCACCCGCCCAGCCCAGGCATTAGAAAATGAAACACCTGCCGAAGTGGCGCTATGGACACACAGTGACTGTTGAGGACTTGAACACACGGACAAAGAAGAAACAAGAAAGGAAAACTTACCTTTAGGAAACTTTCCAAAGATGTTCATTTTCTGAATGAGATTTAAGTATAAACTAGTAAAAGCTGTAGGTGGATGGATGGTGGGTAGATGGTGGGTAGATGATGGTTGGGTGGGCAGATGGGTGAGTGGATAGACGGGTGGTAGGTGGGTAAATGGGTGAATGGACAGCAGGTGGATGAATGGAGGATGTGTGGATAATGGGTGGGTCCATGGAACTACTCTTAACTATTTTTCGGAAGAGTAACTCTGGGGCGCAGGACTTTAGAACATTCTGCTAGAAAAAAAGCCCGTGTGTGACTGGCCAGGTATGTATGTATCATACAGATGACCTCTTTAATTAATGGCCAGCATCATCAACTGTTGGGAACCGCTCTGCCTGGTTTCAGGAGTTGTAACTGCCCCCCATGAATAAGGCTGAGTGAGCGACCTCCGGACTGTGAGCCACTAAGGAGACAAAGCTTATCTCCCTGGCAGGGGCACTGCTTTTGCCCCAATGCTTGGTCAGTCAATCAATGACAGGTACGACCCCTCAGAGGGGGGGCAACCTAAGCCAGACACGATCACTTGGGAGGCCCTCAAGGAAGGGACTCGGGGAGCTGTAGCAAAGAGGGGGTGATGGACCCTTGTCCCCCAGGTATTCTGACATAGCCTGAGTCTGAATTTCCATCTGGGAGAAGGGCTTCCTGGCTCTAATCCACTTAAGCCTGAAAACCTATGACTGGGAGGGCGGTGCAGCCCTTTGCTGGCTAGAGCGGATTCAGGGTGATCGGGCATAAGAAAGAGTTCCTAAAAGTCCTGTGAAGCCTGCTTTGCTAAGAGTGTTTTCATTCATAAGAGTCAGAGCAGGAAATGAGCATGTCTCCCAGTTTCTGCAACCCCCTTTCCTGACAGACACTGACTCAGACTAAGCCCTCAGATTTCTTTGAGATGTTATCTACTGTTTGATTCTTGCTGCCTGTATTCCTGTGTATTACAACCCAATAAAAGCCCCTTGAGGAAGGGCTCTTGGTCTTTCTCCTGTGAGAGATTGGCCACCTCTTCTCTCCAAGCAGATCATGTCTTGGTAGTTTCATTTTCATCTGTGGTGAACTGGGGGACTTTTGGGCAAAGTTGCCCCCACAGTCAATCATTATTGAGCACCAGCTGGTTCCAGGCAATGCAGCTACAGCAGTGAGCAGAACAGACAGCCCTGACCTTATGGAGCTCACCAGCACCAAACCAACCACAAGCAAATGAGCCCAGCGCATGTCAGAGGGCTGGCGGGGAAAGCCAGAGCAGGCTGGGGGGGGGGGCCAGGCAGGAGCAGGGAGGGTCCTGAGGCTGCATTTGATGAAATGAGTCCCTGCTTGTGAGTCATCGAGTGTCCATCAGAGAGGTGTATCATGTTGCATGTGGGAGAAATAAGCAAGTGGATGAACAGTAGGAGGAGACAGCTCCCAACAGCAAGGCTGGCCTGGCCCTCATGATGGGGCCTTGGAGTTCTCCTGTGGGATGTGACGATTTCACAGGACACTATCAGACAAAAGCACCCCATGTGCATGCCGCAGCAATATAAAAATGAGAGCACTCCGTAGTCAGATCTGCTCAATCGGACCGCAGACAGGGTCCAACATCCCCTATCCTGGCTGATGTGAGTGCTGGCTGCCTGTCCAGGTACTGGGCTGGCCTCACATGGTCTTCCGTCTTCCAGCTAAGCATCCCTAAGATAGCCAAGCATGGATCCTCCACTTCCAGCCCAGAGCAAAACTCTGCTTCCCGGGGTCCAGCACCCGTCCCTAACCACCCAACGCAAACCCTCGAAGTCTTTTTAATCCCTCCTGACAGAGACAGTTCATGGTTCCCCTGGGGTATGTGTTTATAAAAGGAGTGAAGGAACCCAAGTTACCTGGTGACAAGTGTGTTGTTGGTGGGTTTTGGTGAAGACATGGACACCACAGAGGCTAACACAAATCACTTGTTCCCAGACAGTAATTCAATATTCTGTATTTCTGAAACTTGGGGAAAGATTCTCTTCTCCTGCCTTTACACTGGGGGACTCAGGTAAAGTAAGTTCTGATCTTAGAAAAGACCCGCAAGACACATACTGAGAACTTGGGAACCTCAAAGCTTGCTTCCTGTTCCGGGGACGAGCCAGCTTTCTCAGCTGAGAACGCCAGTACACCTGCGAACCGGGGACCCGGCGGCGCTGCACAGCAGCTGTTTGCAGTGAAGGATGGAGCCTGACCTCCCATTACATACGGCTTAGGGACGGGAAACGGGAAAAATAGTCACGAAACTAAACCACCCATCTGGCTCCGCTCAGCACCGGGTCTCCTCACAGCGCCATTGCCCGGGCACAAATGCATTGAAGCTTTTCATTTCCATTCAACTTCACATCCAGCTCCCAGCCAGAATTAATATTCTTCAGAAGTCTCCTCTAACCTCAGAACTATGGCCAAAGTGCTGGCGGAAGCCCTGCAGGCCTCATTCGGGGGACATGTGAGTCATTTCCTTGACCCTCCCCCCACAACAAGCCTCCTGTGAAATTGGATGAATCAAATTAATAAATGGGGCTGATATTTATTAGCCATTACCCTTCCGCCTCTGCCGTCACTCTTGGGGCCTGACGCATCCCCTGGTGGATGACATCAGACCTGGAGTGTCATCCTTCCGTGCGAAGTGGTCTTCCAAGTAATAGGGATGGAGAGGGACGTCACTGCTAGAAAAATGACACCTGAAAGAGAAGTATCAGCCCTCTATCCCCACGTCCTGCAGGAAGGAGGCCTTTTTAAGGTCAGGGTATGGACTCCTGTTTCAAAGCACTTTATAGAGATCTAGGCCCATTGCACAGGGCCCTCATCACTAGGAATGTAGCCACTTTCTCGTGAAGTCACCCCATTTCAGGAAGAGGTGGGTGAGCACCCCGGGCTGCCATCGAAAGGGGTCAGTCGCACACCTCCCACCTTCCCACAATGTCAGGGTCATTGAGGGATGTCAGTGTGGCAGAACAAACGGCCCAGCCAGACCTGCGTGCCCAGGGCAGACCCAGTGCTGACCAGCTGCAGAGAGCTGGCAGGCCTCCTACCCTTGCGCTGCCCTGAGATGCCACCTAAAGGCTCCAGGATCAGCCACCTGGGGTGAGAGACCACGTGGAGAGGGAGGCCCACTGCCAGCCAGCACCCGTCTCCAGACAGGTAACAGTCCTCCTGGAAGGCGGGGCCACGAGAGTGAGCCCAGACAACCAGGGCAGGCCCTCCACCCACCATGAACCTGTCCAAGTTGCTGACGCCCAGAATCATGAGCCAATACAGTGGTGGGTGTCTTAAGCCACTAAGTTTTGGGGGTTCCTCACACAGCAATAGATGACTGAGGCGATAAGCTTCGGCTGGAAAGGATAAACAGAGAAGCCGTGCACCAGGCTAAAGGGGTGTCCAAAAATTCATGCATTTGGCGAATAGTGTTTGAGCACCTACCACGTGCCAGCCACTGAGCTAGTCAGTCACCCAGGGTACATCAGTGAGCACAGTAGAGATGCCTGCCACCTCCAGAACAACCCCCACAGACATAATAAGTAAATAAAATGGGAAACATTTAAAATGGACTCAGGAACGGGGTGGGAAATACACAGGGAGGAGAGAGAGCAGGTTGTGGTTTTAAACGGAGATTGTCAGGATGGCCCCATGAGCAGAGGCTTAAAGGAAGTGAACTTAAAGGCCCTGGGGTGGAACTATGTGCTGAGGGCAAAGATCTGGGCGGGACACCGCTGGGGGTGAGGTGGGCCCTGGCAGGCCATTGTAAGGACTTTTCTCAGAACCAAGAGATCTTTCATTACAAACCAATATTCTAGTGACAGGCACCTGGGGGATCCCGAAGTCCAAAACCTGGCTACCACAGCCCGGAAGTGTGAACAATGACTCGGTGCTGCTGCTGCGTGTTCCTCACACTCAAAACCTGCCAGGAGTGGGGCACAACCATCCCGAGGGCGTGTGTGCTTCTGCCTCTGGTCTGGGGAACGGGACCCTGCAGTAGCCTGCTGAGGCTGGACAGGCAGGGGTGGGCGCCAGGCACTGGTCTCTGCAGCTCGGGTCACCCTGAGGGCACCCTGGGCAGAGGGCAGATCTGGCTGTGCACCCTGCCCTCTGTGATCCCACCCTTCTTCATCTGCCTCTCCAGACCCCGAGTCCTCACCCAGCTGCTGCCCCCGACCTGCTCCCTTAGAGAGTTGTTCGTTCATTGCCTCTACTTCCTTATTTCTGTTCTTTCTTGAGCCCACTCCAATCAGCCTTTCCACCTTGTAAATGCCACCCAAACTCCTCTTGTTAATGTCACGAGGACCCTGGATTGCCAATGGGAACCCACTGGTCATTCCTCGCCTGCCACCCTCATCACAGTTGATCCCTCCTTCTAGAAACACTGTCTTCATTTGCCTTCCTCCCTGGTGTTCCTCTCTTTCTCAGTGCCAGCCGAGTGGGAACTGGGCTGGTTTCAGGAATTCTGAACTCGGACCCAGGTCTGCCTAAAAAGTGGCACAAATGGTGCACTAATAGAGGGCACAGACACATTCCTGAGAAAGCGTCCCAAATAATGAGATTGTCTGTCACTAACAAAGTTCTTAACAGGCGTCAAGAACCTGCCAAATTCACATCCTATCAATTTCCCCTCATGGAGCCTCACGCTTGAGGACAGTCAATATAAATAGTATATTCAAAAGTTACGTCCACGTGATGAGAGGGTAAAGATGGCTGTAGAGCCCTGGCTGGTGGCTCAGTTGGTTGGAGTGTCGTCCTGTGCACTAAAAGGTTGAGGGTTCAATCCCCAGTCGGGTCCACACAAGAGGTAATTGATGTTTCTGTCTCCTCTCTCCCCCCGCCCCAGCATCTTCCTCTCTCTGCAATCAATACACATATCTTTGGGTGAGAATTTTTTTTAAATGATGGCAGCAGAGAGGATGAACTTGGACCAATTTCAAAGCAAGACTAAGAACAGCTGGCCAATGCACGCTGGCGTTTCGTGGGCACAAGTTGCCCAAATATGTCTTGTTAGTTCTTTGCTCCTTCATGACACAAAAATACCTCTATATTTAAGAAGGTAATTTGCAACTGATTAAAGGGATCCCCCCATCAGTCAAATGTGCTCTGACAGTAACATAAAGATAGTTCTCTCACACAGGCACCAGGGACCCAGGGACCAGTAGGGTGGAATGAGTACCCTCAGGACATTTCTGGGACAAGGTGACACTGTCATTGATGGGCTGCTGGAGGGAAGAAGCTAATTTTCTTAGAAGCTTCAACCTTTAGTAGTAATGTAATCAGGCCATGCTATAAAATCATCACTAATAACTGTCAGAAGTGCCCGTGAGTCACCAGGGAATGACAAAGCTTGGCAGACAGCATCGGGCACAAACGGAAAAGGCTGGCGTCCACCCCTCCTGCCCCTCTCTGGGCCGTCCCCGCGGGACGCCAACAGTGGCTCCTCGCCCAGCGGTGGACTTTCCTTCAGGACCATTGAACACACACATACACACACACGCACACACAACACAAACATGCAGTCACAGACACATGTGCACACACAGGGAGACACACAGAGACACACATGTACATGTTTAAGTAGAATTTTAAGGAAAACATTCCTCTACCTTACCACAACTATTCTGAATTTCTAATATTACATACCAGTTCTTGTCCAAGCAGTCACCTTTCTTATACACAGTGTCAGTTACCTTCAATGTTATTCTATGTTCCAAGTTTTCTATAACCACTTTCACGATTACTAAAATTACCTAAGCTCTATAAGCTACTAACTTATACACGGATTGGGGCACAGTGGGTGCCCGTGGATTGAATCATGGCTTGTGGATGCGTCTTGTTTGAAATACACAGGACTTTGCTGTAGCTGTTGTTTTAACTTTGGATTAGTTGCCAACAGAATTCATGCACGACCCTTCACATTCAGAATTCTCACATTCCAGCTGGGCCATGGAGTCCAGGTCACAGCAGCCTGTCTTCAACACTGGCATCTGCTCTCCACTCTGCTGCAGTCCCCACCTACTGTCGTGCCTATTGTCATTGCTATGCCTGCCTTCCTCCTTTATATCCGCACCTCGACTCCTGCAGGCATTTGAGTTTGCAACCTGTCTTGCCGCTACAGATAAGGCTGTGGGTGATGTGCTCGGGTAATTCTTTGCTTCTGCTGTGTTATTCCTTTAGGGGATACTTTGAAGGCAGACTTGGTATATTTCGGCTCCTGCTGTATTATATTCCATTTGGGGTGTCTGTTGGGGCCATGGCCCTCTTTTTTGCAGAGAGCTGCCCTTTTGCAGGGGAGTCGGCAAAAGCCTTGCTGAGCTGGGCCACAGACACCCTTTCTCCCTGGAGTTTGCAAATTGGACTTAAGGTGAAAGTGATGTGTCTGAGCTGATCGCTTAAATTTTGGCAGTGGGGCATATGTTTAGCCAAGCAGATGTGGGGGGGGGGGAAGACAACCAAGTCTTGATAAGAGAAAAAGAATGAGATATACATGGACAGAGATGGTAAGGCAAGAAACCATGGAGAGAGAGACAGACAGACAGACAGAGAGACAGAGGAGAGAAGCGAGGAGGAGGAGAGAGAGAGGCAGGCTAAGTGGGGAGTCAGGTCAAGTAAAGCGGAGGTCAGCACAGTTCCTGGGGTTCTGGAAGCTATTGGTGTCTTTCCAATATGCTTTATTTCCTTAAGCTGATTTCAGTTGGCCGCCATCTGCCCTCAGGTTCTGGAGGGCCACTTTCTGCCCTCGTGGTCCACCGCTTGTTTCCCGCCAGGCTGCTGGCACACTGCCAGCTGAGAGGTCTGCTGAGTGGAGTCTGAAGACGCCCCCTTGCCATCCCAGCAGACACATGCGTGTGTGAAACTGCCCACGTGACCCCGTCGAGGTCGCCACTCCACGCTGCTACCCCAGCATCCGTGCTAGGGCAGTTCCCAGGGGCTCTGGCCTGGCAGCTTGGACGCCTCCATTCGAGCTCCTCCAGTTCCCCTGGCCATTCCGCCTCGATTCTCTCTGTGGGATGCTCAGAACACACATTCCCTACTTCATCTGGGTCTGAAGCAACACCTTCCCTGACCAGCTGCCCTGTGGCACAGTGTCCAGAAAGTTGTTCAGATTAGCTGGGGGTGGGGGGCTGTAAGGGGTGAGCAGTGTCCGAAGAAGTAAAGACTAAAATCAGGAGTCAATGGAGATTAAAACACAGTCAACTTTGTCCAGGTATCATGTACATACAGTAACATGCATCGTGGTCAGTGTAGAGTGTGATGGATTTTGGTCAAGATAGAGGACATTGGTGGATTGAGCACGGGCCTGGGAACCAAAGGATAGCAGTTCAGTTCCCAGTCAGGGCACATGCCTGGGTTACAGGCCGGTTCCCAGCAGGGGACCCATGACAGGCAACCATACATTGATATTTCTCTCCTTCTTTTCCCCTCTAAAGATAAATAAAATCTTAAAAAAAAAAAGTGACTTAAATACATCATCATTAAAAAAAATAGAGGACATTGTCATTACCCCAGAAAGTTCCCTTGTCTCCCTATAGTCAACCCTCTGCCCCCCACCAACCCTTTCTGACACTCTGCATTCATTCATCTTGCCTATCCTAGAATTTCGCTGAAATGGAAGCAGGCCCTACATGCTCTTCCAGGTCTGGCTTACTTTGCCCAGCAGGTAGTTCTGTGTTTATCGGTGGTTCCTTTGCGTGGCCAGGCAGAACTCCCTGGAACGGTTCAGTACCCCTTAGCTATTCACCTGCCGATGGGTGTTAGGGCTGCTTCCAGTTCACACCATTGTGAGTAAAGCTGTTACGAGCATTTCTGTACAAGTGTGTGTTAGATACACGTTTGCATTTCACTTGGTGTGACCTAAAGAGGGATTTCTGGGCTCCAGAGGTTAGGGTGTGTTTATCTTTATACGGAAGTGTCCAGCTCTTTTCCAGAGCAGTACATGTGCTGTGTAAGGTCCCACCCTCTGTGTGAGAGGCCCACGGCTGCACCTCTGTCAACACTTGTTGTTGTCAGGTTTGCGGTGCAGCCGTGTGATGGGTGTGCAGGAGCATCTGACAGCTCTCGATTTGCATTTCTCTGATGAAATGATGTGGAGTATTTTTTTAACATCCTTATTAACTACTTGTGTACTTTCTCTTGTGAATCAACTGTTCAAACCTTTTGCTCATTCTGTTAATTGGCTTGTTGGCTTATTGAGGTTTATTTTTTAAAAATACCTGGAGAGGTCTTTTTGTTAGGCATATGTTTTACAAATAGTTCTCACAGTGGTGGCTGGTCTTTTCATTTTCTTATCAGTGTCTTTCAAAGAGCAAGTGTTTTTAATTCTGATAAATTCCAATGTATCTGTGTTCTTTTGTTTTTTTTTTTTCCTGACATGGTGAGTCTCCTAGAAAATGCTTGCGTACCCAAAGTTTGTGCGTCTGTTCATGTTTTTTTGCTGGTAATTCTGTAGTTTCAACTTTTCTGTTCAGAGCAACACAGGTTGAACAGAGAACTGATACGATCTGAATAATGTGCTAAGAGCGTCGGTGTGCCACGATGAGTGGAGGCTGCAGCGGCAGAAGGCAGCCTGGAGGGCTTTCAGGAGGAGGCTGCTGCCCCGATCTGGGCTTCCATCGGGCTGGGCACTGGCCCAGAGCAGTGAACTTCTAGAAGAACTTCCAGCAGGGCTTTCAGGCTTGGTCTTCGTCCTGGTTGATGAGTACTGCCCAGTTTTAAGGGAAGTCCCTGCCCTGTTCTGAACACCCAGGTGCTGGTGGTTTTGCGCGAGGCCCGGAGCACGCAGGAACCCAGCCTTTGGCCTGGGAGTTCTCTGTGGGTCACTGTTTTAAACAACCGGGTTTCGGTTTTAATCCACACACTGCCGCTCTTCGGGCACAGCAGCCCCGTGTTCACTACACACTCATGAAAGAGGAGAAAAGGAAGCCCCACACGTCCTGTGACATACCCTGTGTCCCTTGGGCTTGGACTCACACACCCATCTCTGTCTTGGACACAATTATGCCCGAATCCTTCATTTAACTTGTGATTCATTGCTCTAAGTCACTCCTCTTGCCAGATTTATAAACTTAACTGTTCTTTCTTTGTAATATCTACTTTGTACACTGGGCAACAAAGCAGTGAATTTATTGTCTATGAGTCGTTACCTTGAAAAATTACATCAATGCAAAGTGATTGCCTTTTGGCTTCCACAGCCAATAAATCGATTTGACTTTTTGGGGAGGGACTGGTATGAGGTCATAGGATAATATATACAGTCGCTGATCACAGACCAAGAGTAGCAGATTGAAAGTTCTGGACAACAGAAGCCAGGAGGGAAGACTCTGGCTGTCAGTCATGTATAAGCTGGCCTCCTGCTGCTTGCTTCTCTTGGGATGCTTGAACTCTCTCTTCTCTTTCCCCACTCCTGACTCCAGGGACGAGCCCCTGCAGCTCCTGGGTAAGATGGATTGTCTTCCCGTCTGTTAGTCTTGAAAGAGCCTTCCAGCTGGGATCTTAAGCGCAATGTTAGAGGGAAGAACAGGAATTCTTGCTTAAATGGCATCTTGTTACTAGTCCTGGCTATGGAAAGAGGGAGGGTCTCATAGCGCACTTCAGACCTGGTGATGGAGACGTCTGTTTTCTCTCCAGCAAGTACGAGGAGGGTGGTAGAACTGCTTATTTCATGTCACTTCTAGGATTCAAAGTTCTGGTTTTGGTCAGTTTTTTTAATTTTAAAATCTGAACTAGATTAAAAGCATTATTTTAGTTTTTATTCTAAATTCACTGTTTGTATATAGAAGTTGGTGTTTCCAAGTGTAGGTTTAAAATATTCTAATTTTATCCTCTATTACTTTAATTTAAAAAGTAATCATCTGACATGCATTCTATGGAACAAAGCTGCATAGTAAAAAGTTTAAAAGTGACCAGCTGGAGTCGTTCCGGGCGTCCAAGCGCGCTTACCTTTTCCTTCTGATGTGTGTTGCATTCAGCTCAAGTCTGAGTTGAATTTTTAAAGAATGTATCAGTCAAGCACACACATACTTTGCTATTATCTCTTAATTTAGTTTAAGAAATGAAAAAGTTGATGCTTATGTATTAGGTTCCACAAGCATTTTTAGCTGGATTTGATCTTATCTCTAACTCTGGGTACTTCTGGACATGTTTCTTTAAATTAAGGGGAAAAGCCATTGATTTTGCCATTTCTAGCCTCCGCACCACCTGCCAAGCAGTTTCCTGACCGCTGGCAGCGCTGCCCGTCTGGTGCTCCGCCCGTCCACTCCCGGAGTCCCCGAGCTCAGATGCGCGGCCACTGTGAGGACCAGGCCAAGCATGAACTGGACTGGCCCTCTCCTATTTAAAAAAGACCAGTGCAGCCCTGGCTGGTGTAGCTCAGTGGATGGAGCACGGGTCTGCAAACCAAAAGATCGCGGTTCGATTCCCAGTCAGGGCACATGCCTGGGTTGCAGGCCAGTTCCCAGCAGGGGCCAGTTCCCAGCAGGGATCGCATGAGAAGCAATCATACAGTGATATTTCTTTCCCTCTCTCCTTCCCTTCCCCTCTAAAGATAAATAAATAAAATCTAAAATAAACAAACAAACAAACAAGACCAGTGGAACACGCAAGATGGAATCAAGGATAGATACTCAACTATTATTGTCATCTTCAAATATATGCATGTCATTATTATGATTTTAATAGAAGTAGATGACATAATTATTTTTTAAAAATAAAAACAAATAGATAAAAACCTAGATGAAATGAGTATAGTATCTCACTCAAATTCTAAGCAGGTGATATCTCACCTTAGAGTTTTGGCCCGAATCTTTTTCCTCATTTATTTATTTCTCTATAAATGATCTTTCGTGACACAGACTCCTATATGTGGCCAAGTTTCATGGATGCCCATTAACATTCTTCGGGAATGCCGTGTATGTGCTCGGATGCCTTTGTAATGGTCTGTGCATCACCCTCGGACGGAGGCTGCGGCTAAGGGCCTGCCAGCCTTAAGTGCGCGGGTGTTGACAGTCCTGGAGCCTCGGGTCTCAACTAGCAGCACCGGCCATGGGAGAGGCCCCGGCCCAGTCTCCACCCTTACACGCGCTTCCCATGTGCCGTGCGTGCACTTTCCCGCTGCCTTACTGGTATCTTCCATACGTACCTTACATACCAAACATCTCACATGCCTCCTGTTGACCAAATTTCACATTGGAAATGCTACCACCAAGCTCTTTAAAGAGTGTGTTCAAGCCGACTCTTGTCTGGTAGCCACTGTATCTCACTCTTGAAGGCCGGAGAGAGGCGATGCCTTCTTACCTGCCTCACAGGAAGAACATGAGCTTTCAGAAAACGAGTCCGTTCCTTTCCTCTCCCCTTTTACCACCCAAGCCTCCAAAAGCAAGAGGCAGCGGCAGATGAATAGACTGGGGAACAGTTGCTTTTAAAAAGTGGAGACGTTTTAAACTGATCCTGTGGCTCAGCTCGACCCTCTGAGTCAGGCAGCGGACGGGTCAGCAGGTCACACAGGAGGCAGGGTCTGGATTAGGTCCATTCCTCTGGGTCCACTGTCCTTTTCCGTTACAATACCATTAATGGCAAATCACTGACTGAGCATTTGAAGGTTTTCTAGTATTATCTCCTTGTCCTTGGTACCCCCACCCCCCAAAAGACAATAGGGAACAGAAAGAACTCACTCAAGAATGAACTGTGTTACTAAACTTGTCACTACTCTGTGCAGCACCTGATGGCGGCGTAAGACCGACTCTGGACAAGGGGGACAGGGCGTCCCTTCTGCACGAGCTGCTGGTGGCATTAGGTGCAGAGACAGGAGATGGTCTCAGGAAAGCAGGTAAAAGGATTCTGGTGGGTCGAGGTTGTCTGATTTTATGGCTCCTGGATTTACTCTCTAGTCTCACCTCAGGTGAGGGGAAGCCCTGCTCTGGAACATAAAGATGAGCTAATAAGTTAATTACCCAACATTCTCTCCTCCTGCCATCTTTTTTCTTTTCTCAGCCACTGCTTGCAAGCATCCTGCTGTACGTGGCGCCTTAGGGAGTTCTTTTCCTGTATGGACTTTCATTTTGGTGGGGGAGGGCGCAGGATATTATGCCGGTTTCTATTAAGTGCAGTTTTAAATGCTAGTTTCCCATGTACTAAAATCTTAAACAAAGTACTTAATCTTTCTGTACCTGAGTTTCTTCATCAGTAAGTAAAGATACCTACCTCATAGGGTTATGGTGACAAGTCAACGAGGAAATGGAAGTGGAAAGGCCAGCACAGCCACGCACAAAGTAACGGACCAAATGTCCGCTTTTACTCTGGGCAAACCTCGGAGACAGTTTTCAGGTCCAGACGCTGCAATGAAGTGGACGTTGCAATAAAGCAAGTCATGCAATACAAGGAAATTTTTGCTTTTCCAGTGCATATAAAAGTTATGTTTACACAATACCATATTCTATTAAGTGTGCAATGTACATAGCTTACTTAAAAAACATTTCATTACTAAAAAGTGCCGACCTCCACCTGAGTGTTCAGCGAGAGTCTTGCCCTGACGTTGACGGCTGCTGACTGGCCAGGGTGGTGGCTGTGGGAGGCTGACATGGCTGTGGCAACTTCCTCTAAAAAAGACGGTGACATTTGCTGCATCATTTGACTCCCCCTTTCATGAACAGTTTCTCTGTAGCACGTGATGCTGTTTGATAACATTTATCCACAGCAGAGTGTCTCTGAAAATTGGGGTCAGTCCTCCCAAAACCTGCTGCTGCTTTATCAAGTAAACTTATGACATATTCTAAATCCTTTGTTGTCCTTTCAACCATCATCGCAGCATCCTCACCAAGAATCGAGTCCATCTCAAGAAACCACTTTCTTTGCTCATCCACCAGAGGCATCTTTTCATCCATTGAAGTTTTATATGATTACAGCAATTCAGTCATGTTTTCCAACTCCCATTTTAATTCTGTTTTCTTGCTATTTCCACCATATTTGCAGTTACTTCCTTCCTCTTGAACCCTTCAAAGTCACCCATGAGGGTTGAAACCAACTTTTCAAACTCCTGTTCACATTGATATTCTTCTGACCTCTTTCCATGAAACACACATGCTCTTAATGGCGTCTAGAATGGGGAGTCCTTTCCAGACGGTTTTCGAGCAACAGCCCTGACCCATCAGAGGAATCGCTATCTACAGCAGCTAGAGCCTTATGAGATGTATTTCTCAAATGATGAGACCTGAGAGTTGACATGACTCACTGACCCATGGGCTGCAGAACGGGGGTTTGGTGAGCAGCCATGAAAAAGGCATAAATCTCTGTCCATTGCCCTCAGAGCTCCCGGGTGACCCCGTGCACTGTTGGTGAGCAGTCATGTTCTGAGAGGAGTCTTTTTCCGAGCAGCCGGCCTCCATCGTGGGCTCCAGCTATTCCGTAAACCACGTGGTGAACAGATGTGCAATCAGTCATCCAGGCTTGGTTCTCCATTCACAGAGCACAGGCAGAGGAGACTGGACTTAATTCTGAAGGGCCCTAGGATTTTCACACGGAACATGAGCACTGGCTTTAACTTCAAGTGTGTTAATTAGCCCCTAACAAGTGAGTCAGCCCGTTCTCTGGAGTCAGGCATTGCCTTTTCCCCTCTGGCTATGAAAGCCTTAGATGGTGTCTTCTTCCAGTACAAGGCTGTTTCTTCTGCATCGAACACCTGTTGTTTAGTGTAGCCACCTTCAGGGATCATCTTAGCTAGAATTCTGGATGACTTGCTGCTGATTCGCCTTGCACTTGGATGTTATGGAGAAAGAAGGCTTCTCTCCTTTAAACCTCATGAGCCAACCTCAGCCAGCCACAGACTTTTCTTCGGCAGCTTCCTCACCTCTGACAGCCATCATAGAATTAGAGAGAGTTAGGAGCTGCTCTGGATTAGGCTATAGCTTAAGGGAATGTTGTGGCTGGTGTGATCTTCTATCCAGAGTACTGAAACTCTCCAAGTCGGCCATCAAACTGTTTTGCTTTCTTCTCATTCATGTGTTTATTGGAGTATCACTTTTAAGTTCCTTCAAGAACCTTCCCTTTGCATTCACTTGGCTAACTTTGATGCGAGAGATCTATCTTTTGGCCTCCTTCTGCTTTCAACATGCCTGCCTCACTATGCTTCATCATTTCTAGCTTTTGGTTTAAAGTAGAAGACTCATGACTTCCTTTCAGCTGAATACTTAGAGGCCACTATAGAGTTATTAATTGGCCAAATTTAATACTGTTGTGCCTCAGGGAATGAGGAGGTCCAAGAAGAAAAGGAAAAACAAAGGCTGGTTGGTGGAGCCGTCAGAACACATACAACATTTAAGTCACCACCTTATGTGGGTGGGGTCTGTGGCTTTCCCGATTACAGTGGTGACATCAGAGATCACCGATCACAGATCACCATAACCAATACGACAATAATGGAAAGCTTTGGAATATTGGGAGAATGACCAAGATGGCAAGCAAAGACAGGAAGTGAGCAAATGCTGCGGGGAAAATAATGCCAATCGCTAGACCTGCTCAGTGCAGGGTGGCCACAAACCTGCAACTTGTAAAAAATGCAAGGTCGGTCAGGTGCAACAAGGCAAAGCCCAATAAAACAAGGTCCGTCCGCATTTTCCCCTGGAATGTACTTCTCTAAGCATGGATGCAAATGTCCGGGACATTCAGAGGGAAAAAAACAGAGGCTTTCAACACACAGTTGAATAGAGAGGAGTTCAGTTTGTTATAAAATGTTTTTGGTAAACTACTGAGCTGGTAAGTTGTTGAGGAAAACGCAGTGCCCTCTGTGAGCTCTGTCGGCAAGAACAAGGGTGCTGCTTACCAGCCTTCAGGCAAAGGCCACCACAGGACGACCAGAAACCAGACACAATTTAGTGACATGCTAGTTGGTGTGTTTTGAATAAACCAAGCATGAAGCAGAAACAACAGATCTCATGACAAATGGTTTCAAAATACTGTTTTCCAGATCCCGACACCGACATTTTTAACCCAAGAGGGATTACGAGAAAGGTAAGTGACTATGAGTTAGGTTAAAAGACGGGAGCATTCTGCACCTTAACTTCAGAGATCCTGAATTTACGAACCAGACAAGTGATTCTGGTAGAAACTACACCTTAAAATAACTGGCCAGTTGTCATTGTTTCAAAGCATTAATTTTTCCAAACTTTGACTCACATGAAATGTGTGAAGATGAAAGAAACTGATCCAGTGCATGTTTTGGATAAATTACTATAAAAGATAAGGTCCCTGCCATTAAGTTTGTCATCACTTGCCATTCTCACTCGCTGCCTCTGCTACATGGTCATGGACCCGCTGGCTCTGGGGGAGAGGCTGACCTGAGGTCCCCCATGGGGGGCACCACCCAGTCCGGGATGTTGTGGCTTCTGCATGTGACCAATTAGCAATTATCATTCAGATGTTTCTAGTCTTCTCAGTAGAGAATTGTGGTTAAAGACTTTAAAATCATATGGGTGAATAATAAGATTTGATCATAAAATTCTAGGATTAAAAAAAAACACACCCAAAACCAAGGTTCTAGAAAGACAAATAAAAGACCTATTTTATACACAAGATAACAAATGTACAGAACGTGTTACTGACAGATTATTTAAATAGAAGTAAGTCGCATCATCAAGCCCTTATTATATGAAATGTTAAAGGGACTTACCTAAGAAAAAGATAAAAAATATGAACAGTGAAAGGGCAGCAAACTCACAGTTATTAATAACCACACCTAAAATAAAAGCAAACTAAGAGGACAGCTAGATCAGGAGTGGAACCACAGAAATGAAGATCACATGGAGGGTTAGCAACGGGGGAGTGGGAGGAGAAGGGGGAGAAGGTACAGAGAATAAGTAGCATAGAAGGTAGGTAGAAAATAGACAGGGGGAGGGCAAGAATAGTGTGGGAAACGTAGAAGCTAAAGAACCTGTGACACATGGACATAAAAGAAAGGGGGGAATGGCAGGGGAGGGGTTGTGCCGGGTGGAGGGGAATGAACAGGGGAAATGGGACAACTGTAATGGCATAATCAATAAAATATATTAAAAAAAAAGAAGTCGGTGAGCATCTAGGAAAATTCAGGGCAATCCCAGGGCTGAATAGACGGGACAGACCACCAGGCAGGCGCGGATGCCCTGAGAGCCCATGCCCTGGGCTCCCCGTGTGATCAGATCCCAGAGAACAAGAGGGGAGGACTGATGTCTTGAACCCAGTTCCTTTTTCCTGCAGGACTCTGCCTCCACTGATAATCCATCCGTTTTTGTCTGTTTGGCTTTGGTTTCAGGCGTTCTCTGGACAGGGGCCCAATATTCTACTGAATCACCTCTGGGCCAGAATCAGGAAACAGGACAAGCGTGGGCACCCCTCTGAATGCTTCTGGAAGTACTGTGTCTGAAGTAAAACGAACACCCATGAGTCAGCTCAGAACCCACCGTCTTGGAAAACTAAAGACAGAAAAGCTTGTTGATTTGAAAACGGTACAGAAGAAACACTTGGCAAACTACACCCTGCTCGTTATCATTTGGAAAATAAATCCTCTGTATTTTGCAAATATCATCAGTGGTTATTTTACTTATAAACACAGCTTAGAACAGAATGTCTTCCTTGCATCAATTTATTTTTAAAGAATTCTCTGAAAATTTAAAAGTAAATAACAGAAGCAAATGCTAAGAAAAATCATGAGTAAAATTTAGTTAAAATAGTTACACTGCAAATCATTTATGTACTTTTAAATTGATTTGAAAATATCTTATTTTTTAAAAATATTTATTGTCAGAGAGAGGGGAAGGGAAGGAGAGAGAGAGAGGGAGAGAAACATCAATGTGTGGTTGCCTCTCCTGTGTCCCCCACTGGGAGCTGGCCTGCAACCCAGGCACGTGCCCTGACTGGGAATTGAACCGCGACCACATGGTTCGTAGGCTCGAGCTCAATCCACTGAGCCACACCAGCCAGGGTGTAAAAAATATCTTATTTCTTTTTAGAGGGGAAGGGAGGGAGAAAGAGAGGGAGAAAAACATTAATGCATGGTTGCATCTCATGTGTCCCCTACTGGGGAGCTGACCTGGCCTGCAACACAGGCATGTGCCCTGACTGAGAATCAAACCAGTGACTCTTTGGTTTGCTAGCTGGCCCTCAATCCACCGAGCCACACCAGCCAGGGCCAGATCATTTACATAAGCTACATTATCGTAGCCCTTAAAAATGATGTGAGTTATTACCCTAAGAAAAATCAGTAACTTGGAAAAACCTTTCCAGTGAAGGATGCCTGAGGGCTGGGGACAGTCTGAATACCCCTTCTTAGTGTCTGATGAAGGTGCCTCCCCGGGCTCCAACCCCCGCCCTTGGCTAACATGTGGAAACTTGAGTCTCTTAACACCAGACCTTGTTCGATCTCAGCTCCCATGAGCTCACGGATCAGTTCACTTCTAGCAGGAAAGTACCTTCACAACCTGTTTTGTGTGTGCACTACTGTACATCCTATTCATCCATCTCTGTAAGTGCAGCTTTTATACAGGCTGGGCAAAGTCAGGTTGACAGTGGTGAGTACACAAAAGTTTATTCTTGTATTATCATTTGTTAATTACTGTACTATCTCATTATTTCATACCCTTCTGTGTGATTGGTCTTTCCCACACCCACACTGTAAACCTACTTTTGCCCACCCCTGTATGTAGAGGACACAGCGTGAGTGGGGTGCTTCCAGCACAGAACTGGATTAAAATGTAAGCACCCCCACCGCACGCTGCTCTCACAGCATCACCACTTTCGAGGGATCAAGTGTTGGATCTGCACCAAACTGCCACACAAATTGGCACTGACCTTGTCAACAAACACCAACAGTCTCTTACCAGAGCACAGGTTTGAAAACCTTCACTGTCCTTACTGAAGACATCAAGGACCAACCTGCAGAAAGAGATACTCGAGACTCAGAAAACGGATGGGTCGCCTCGGGAGCAGGCTCACATTACGTGCTCTCTCTCACTGGCAAAACTGAGTCTCTGAGCCACAGGACTGTTTCACGTTTATGACACCAGAAAGAGCTGACGGTGGAACCGCACATTCCATTGCACACAACCCTAAAATCGCTCCCTTGTTTTACTGACATGAGGCTATTTTGTCCGACGGTTGGGGCTCTGGAGTCCGATCGCTCGGTTCTGATGCCTGCTCCCAACGCACTCGGCCGGAGAGTCCCTGACCAAGTTCTCTGACTCTGGCTGCCAGACACCCTTCTCCGTAAAATGGGGGTAAGAGCCCAGCTTCCTGGGGGACTGAGAGCATCACGTGAGACAGTTTCCAGGGAGCACCTCGGACAGCTCCTGCGAGAGCGGAGCACACGCCACAAACCCTGGGCGATCTTTTTCTTCTGGCATTGTTGTCGTTTTGTTACAGAAAGGGGCAGATGATTTGAAAGGGGTACTACTTAAAAATCCCTGTTGTTCTCAGGATCTTGTTCTGCATTTTGAGATTTTGTTGCTACCAGTGACACAGACATTGTGTAATACAGGTTCACTATGGAATCTTGAAGAATTTTGATAGGACTGATTTTCCTAAATTCAGAATTAGTATTAGTATTAAGTATTAAAAATGTGCACATATATTCAGGACTTATTAAACTCTTCAGCGCTGAGGGGAGGATTCAGTGACAGCGAATCTGGAAACGCTGCATGGCCCACACAGGCACTCGCTGGTGACGCCAACGCAAGGTGCTGTGGGGAGCAGGCCGGCGTCAGCCCAGCCCAGCGCCACCCAGCCCCTTGCCACTGGGTTCCCGAATGACACCAAACACAGCCTTGGCAAAGGTTTGTTGACACAGTGCAAGAGAATTTCTCAAGTTTTACTTGTACATGGTTTATTGTTTTTACTTAAAAAGATATCTAATAAAATATTAATAACCATTAAAAACAAGTGGATTCACACAGCTAATTGTATGTTCAGCTGAAACTAAATTTCATTTAAGTTCACCTGGTGAGTCATAATAAAATTTCACCCAATAGCAAAACGATTCCATTCACACAGTGTTCTGCTTTTCTTAAATCCTGACCTCTTATCCAAGAAAATACAGCCTTTTGGGCAACATTTATGTAAACATTGAAGCCTACAATACACATTTTTATTACCAATTTCTATAGTCATGAATACAAAAAGTAAATGAACTTGAACACCACAGTGGACAGTTGGGCGAAGCCCCCATGGGGGGCGGTGCTGAGCCTCCTCCCCCGCTGCCGGCAGGAGGACATCGCGGCCCAGCCTCTCAACACAGCGCTCGCCTACTTGCCAAAGTCCGAGGGTGAGAATGGTCTGAGGACTCTGCCGACAGTGAGCACTGGCTTCAAAGGAAGCCTTGGGTAGCGTACACTGCATACAGTGTGTACCAAGGCAAAGACGTGAGCACACTGAGATCAAACAAATCCCCGGAAAGGGTGGAAAAGAAAAGCCTGTCCTGTGACAGGACAGAAGCTTTAACACACACAGCAGTGCAGGGGGACCCCTGGCAGCTGGTCACTTTCGATTTGTGCAAATGGAGATTCAGAATTTTATCACTACAGAAGGTCACCACGGTTCTATCGATGGACAATATCCAGGATGATTAATTTTAAAAAATTTGATTATTTTCCCCCAGGGGGAAAAAACAGCACACAAAACAACACAATGAGGGCTTCAAAAGCACTGAACAATCAAGGTGGGGACGAATATGAGAGTTCTCTATTTGTAAAATAGGAATATTTGCTTAATATCAAAAAATGTCAAGAAATGTCACAGGCAGCATCTGAAAAAGGTTCTGACACCTTCAGACAGAATTACCTCGCAGGAAACGACTGCTTTCAAATGCGAATCTAAGCTACACCGAGAAGCAGGCTCGGAGGTCACCACGGACACAAAGGTCGCTTCTCCTAGTCACTCTCAGGGCGCATTTTAACAAAAAGCTATACAACTTGAAGGAAGGAAGAAGTGTTTTCCTAAAACAAAATAAAACACAACAACAAAACAGAAAAATAAGTTAGTTGGTAAAGATAAGAGTTTACCATGACCTCTATCTTCTTCCATTTCCTCGTTCTGAGTCAAGTGGGCACAGCCTGGGTGCGTCATTCCAAGTCTGAGAAGGGTCCACCACCTTCTCCAGAGAGCAGGGCCTAACCAACCAGGAAACAACCCGGCCCCTTCTCAAAAGTCACAAGGAAAGAGCTCGGATTCCGGGGATTCTGCGCCCACCCCGCCTGCCCCGGACTCCCAAGCTCCCGAGGACCCCTGCTCACAGTGTGGCCCTGCCAGACACTTACCCGGCCTACGGGCAAACAAAGGCAGGGCCAGTCAGGCCTCGGGCAGGGGTGGAGACCTTCTTGGTGCACATTGGTTGAAAAGAAAGAGTTAACTATTAATTTTGGTTTAAACACACTTAAACACAGACACATAAAAAACCAATATTAATTTTCACTAGACTCTTTATAATCACTTTAAAAACAAAAACATTAAAAAGGGAAATGTCACTGGTTGCGTTAGAAGCTCTTTTGTGTTAAAATGATACATGCAAAATCTAACTTCGACTCCCCAAGGAGTAAGTTTGTTGTGGTTGGATCCGTTTTTAGGATGAGACTCCAAGTTTCTGTGGAAGGTGGAAAACCGAGGGGTAAGGCATCTGCGAAAATGAAGGCTAAGCTGCCCTCTCGGAGTGGGTCCCCCGGCACCAGGGGGCAGCACAATCCAACAGCGGGGAAGCTGAGTGAGGTCTGTGCTGATTACAGAGGGCAGACCACTCGGGCGGACACCCCACAGATTTACGGAACCGCGATGAGAGGTGTACGGCCCACAGGTGGGATTTCCTCACATTCTCTAACAGGGAAATGATTTATGTAACAGCAGAGCAAAACCAGTGAGGCTGAGTTTTGGTTGGGGCTCTTTTCAGCTATTTTTCTCTTCAGGGTTTATTGTGGGTGACACGCGGAATAAAGTTTTGCTGTACACGCACCTTCTCCAAGGCCCCCGACCTCTTTAGAAGGCAGCTAAACCAGGACAAAGCTACTGACAGTTTTAATACATCAGGAACGGGGAGAAGGAGAAGACTATATACAAAGTCTGCTTTGGAAAAATGATGTCTATGAAAAAGTTGGGGCGGAAAAACCTTAACATTCAACGGAAAGGTCCCGGCCATTAAGAGCCAGGGGTGGACAGAGAGGCGCAGAGAGGACCCCCGCCCAGCAGGTCCTGCGGAGAAAGTGCCGCTGGCACCTCCACGATCACTCAACTGCTGTCTTCTGCTGGGTCCTCGCCACGGGGTCCTACAGCACCAGCGACCAAATCTTTGCTTTTGCAAGTGACACAGCCCTCCGAGAAAGAACAAAAGCGGGCAGGTTATTGAAGGCGATGTCACCTAAACAAGGTTAGAATCAGTAAAACGCTGGCCAAACAAACCAGGTCTAAGTCCCTCACCTATTCCTGTCTAGGAATATCCATTACGGCTCATCCCTTATTATTAGAAGGCAAACGGCAGCACCTTCTTAAAAGCTTTTGCTTACATTGTCTTGGGGTTCATTCTTCCTATACCCTTCTACTCCAACACCAGAACACAGTATTTAAAAAACAGAGATACTGTAACCAGCCCAGCTCCTGTGCTTTGGAGAGACCGTGTCCAGCCACCCTCAAGCGACAGGCACACGTGGATTCCCGCACCTCATTTAATGCATGAGTCTTACATGCCTGTTTTTGGATGCCTACCTTTCTATCTGCTGGTTTGGACTTTTAACTTCACTCATCCTCTCCCACCACTGTCACAGCCATCACCCCAGACCGACGCTGTGCCTGCCATAAAGGGAACCCTCCCTGGGTAGGCTGCGTGCATCTGGGCTCACAGAGAAGACCTCTCGGGAGTGGAAGGCCCACCTAGTCCCTTGGAAACTCCCGTTACGTGCAGATGCTACCCTGGTGTGAAGCGTACGTCTTGAGTCTGAACTCTTTCCAGTCGTGCACGCAGATCTGAGGTGCAAACCTCCCGCACCTCCCGCCCTGGTCAGTCACCTATCAGAGTAGGTGTCCTTGCTCCTTATGGCGCCGGCATATTCCAAATGGTGGAATCAAAAAATGTCTGCAGTCAGAAAGCCCTGCACTGAAAACCCAGTGGCCTGTGTAACCTTATGCAAATTCTTCATCTCCACTCCTCGCTTTGTGTTTACCGGTGAAGCAGGGGAGACAACACCTGACACAGCAGCGGCCTTGGGGACTGGAATTTTCAGTGGTGTCGTGCGCGCACGTCCAGGGCCCAGGACCCTGCCCGGCCCCACCTGACCCGTGACAGCTACTGCAGTGTGCTTACTGGGATGTCTATTTCCTGAGGGAGAGTCTGGCTCTGGATCCAAGAATGCACCCGGGCAAGCTCCTCCCTCTGTCCAGGGGAGAAGTGCGGCTGCTGCCGCCTCATGCCCTCCAGCTTTTCCAGGTCTTCTTTCAGGACAACTTCGGTGACCCTGAAACCAAACGGACACGAGAAACTTCAACAGTTCTGAACAAGGCCCACCTAAGGATGGCCATTCTTCCTGGTCTGGAACACGCTTTGCACCTTGTTACCACACACGAGGTACACATTAAAGCAACCGCGTCATCTCCCTGTGCGGCTGGTGAGGCTAGAGCACTCCGTGGAGACCACCTGCTCAGAGCTCTGAGGGGCGCAGGGCTCTCCTCTGCCCGTAGTGGGAACAAGACCCAGAGTCTAGAAGGAGCCCCGCACTTAGGTGCCGCCTGGGCGAGGGCCGCCCTCCTCCTCGTCCTCTCGTCTCATGATGGTGACACGTTTGCTGAGTCTGGACCCACATGCATGCGGCCCTCTCACCCTGGCCACTGCTTTAAGAAATCACTCGTTACTGAACTTCAAATGAATGAATCTGAATATACATTTCCCCAAGAGTATGTATAAAAACATTAAAAAATCACTTTGTATTAAGAAACGTTTAAGAAACCCTGGACAAGGCCTTCTTACCTCTCAGGCACCTGGTATGTCATGAGAATGCACTCGGGGGTCTCCTTTATCATCCTCCAGATGGACTCGTCCCCCAAGGTGGCAAGCGCTGCTTGTGCCTGCACATCCCGAAAATGCTGCCCATGCTGGGGGATTTCAGAGGAATCGTCACTGCTAGCAAAATGCACGCTGCTCTCACTGGTTCCTGTCAAGAGTCAACACAACAAATTAGAAAATGCCCATCAGGGACTGGTGTGCCAGGCTGGACCTGGTTCTTCAGGGACCGTGGCCATGACCTGATGCTCATCACCTCCCAGCACAGCCGTCAGCCAGGTAAACCTCCACCTGGATCGTCCCCAGGCTTCTTCCTCAGACCCTTGAGCTATGCCCTCTCACAGCGTCCCCAGAATGGCTCCATCTTGGCTCCCCCTCCTAAATCACCGATGTCTCAGATCCCCTTTCTCACTGGCTTGTCCACTTGCTCATCTGCAGACCTGGGGCGGAGCCCTTGCCATTCAGCTCGTGGCCCAGAGCCTGTCTCGAGGTAACGCTCTCCGTGAAACCTCTGACTTCTTTCTCCTCGACTTCTCGTGACGGTCAAACGTCAGCCCTGGGAGAGTCAGTGATCAACTCTGTGCTTACCCCCACCCACAAAGCCACCATCATGGAGGAAGGCACACAGGACCCATTCTATAAGAAAACCATCATCCCCAGAAGGAGCATCAGAAAGCCTGGTCATCCTGCTATAGGTCTCCGTCATTTACTATCACATCAAATATGTGACATCCTTAGGGACACTTTAGTAAAACATGTATGTGTGAGACCTGGACATGGGAAACTGCAAACGCTGCTGACGAAAATTAAAGACCTACATAAATCAGAGACGGATCATGCAGAAGGGTCAGACTCAACACTCGCAGGGTGGTGATTCCTCCGAAACTGACCAGCGAGTCACAGCGACACTAATCAGGTCCGGCAGTTTTTTTGTTTGTTTTGTAGAAACCAAGAACCTGATTCTACAATTTACATGGACAAAAGACCTACAATACTCAAAACTACTTTACAAAGAAGAATAAAGGTGGAGGAGTCAAGCCAGCAGCACTGAAGACTTATCTGAAAGCCACATCAGAAGAATGGGAGGTGGCCCTACCGTTAGCCGGGAGGCTCAACAGAACAGAGGCCAGGAACAGACCCTGACACAGACGCCGAGCCTTTTCCAGCAGAGGCGCTGTGGTAACTCAGTGGGGGAAGCAGTAACGGTCTCAACGCCTCGGGCAGGAACAACCAGGTATCTGTATGCCAGGAAAGCACAGCGACCCCTACCTCACACCGTCAGCAAAACAACTGAAAATGAATCCAGCCCCAACTCTAAAAGCCAGCACCACGAAACATCCATCTCCACCAGACAGAGGCCGTCTCGGTGACGTCTGAGAAGACAGGAGACTTCTCACAGAGGGCACACGGAAAAGAAAAAACTGATCCACTAGGTTTCATTAACATTAAAAAAGCACTTCGCTCTTCAAAATGAGGCTAAAAATAAAAGGTAATAAAATGAAAAAGCAAGCCACATACAGGGAGGAAGTTTTTGCAAAACAAATCTGTGACAGAGGACTTATATCCAGAATACGTACAGAGCTCTTACCACTCAACACGAAACTAACTCCCCCAAATGGGCAAAAGACCAGAACACATACAATGGCAAGAAGTACATTACAAGACACTCAGCACCGCTGGGCACCAGGAAAATGCAAAGGGAAACCGTGAGGTGTCACTACACACCCCATGGGAATGGCGAGCTTAGACGACAGGCAGTCCCCAGCATGGGGCAGGACGTGCCCAGCAGGAGCGCTCACTGGCTGCCGACAGGCACACACATGGTTCGGCCACTCTGGAAAACAGCGTGGCAGTTTCTTGTGAAGTGGGCCATATGTACGACCCAGCAATTTCCTCCTGAGGTATTTACCCAAGAGAAAAGAAAACCTGTGTCCACAAAACGTCTTAGACTAAAATGTTCATTGCAGCACTAAGAGGCCACACTAGAAACGCAATGCCCACCACCTGGTGAACGGCCAGCCACATGGTGTCCCTCTGCTCGGTGGGGAAAAGGAGCAGGCCCCCGACGGCAGTCGGCGCGGAGCTCAGCAGCACCGTGGGCCCTGAGCGTCCCGACACAGAAGGCCGCACACTGGGCAACTGCATCGACATGCACTGCAGAAAAACCAACACCTGTGTGATACGAGGCAGAGGGGTGGAGGCCCCAGGCCAGAGAGCCAGGGCCCCAGCAGAGTGTCCCCGGGGAGGGAGGTGCTCCACCTGGCGACTGCGGTGGTGGGGACCCCACCACATTTGTTTCTCAGGGATCTTGTTTTATATGCTTAAATGCGGTGCATCTCACTGTAAGTAAATAAGTAAACCCAATAAAGCTTATGGAAAAACAGAACGGAGAAGGAAAAACACCAGTGTGGAAACGAAGCAGCCCGTCCTCACAGTGATCCCCGGGCAGCAGAGCCCGAGGAAGGTGTCATTCGGACCCTACCTGATGCTGCAGAGCCAGGTCCAGACTCCCGGGGAGGCGACAGGGCGCCCACAGTGAAACGGTGGCTCCCCTTGCCACTGTGGTCTGTGATGCACTGCTAGAAAGTAAGGACACGAGAAAAAAATGGTAACATGGTACAAAGTAACTGGGAGCGCTTCCACTTCACAAACAGAATAAAATGCCAGGTAAAACTGACCCGCTAAACAGTGTCAGCCTGTCCCCAAGAATGGGGCCCAAGTTCCTCTGTATATAAAATTCAAGACACTGTTTTTCTGAGCACTTACTATGTGCTACAGGCCATACAGCCGTATGCCTTGATGTCTGGCCATTCAGAACAGACGCACCAAACAGTTTGTACATTCTAGGCTGTGTCCCACACACTAGGAATACAACTGTAAACAAAACAAAGGTCCCGTTATCCTGGGACTCTCACTGCCTGGGGGATGGGGGGGATGAACTCCATAAATACTGGTTCATTTAATTCTCAGAATAAGCTATGAAGTATTAATCTTTCCGTTTTTCAAAGAGGGAAACAAAGGCAAAGATAGGTTCCATAACTTGCCTACGCTGACCCATCAGCTACCAAGTGGCAGGGCTGGGATCTGACCCCGTGTCTCTTCCGCGGCCCAGGATTTGCTCTCTGGGATACACCGCCTGGCCTCAGGTTTACAGCAAGTGCACTAATGACAGGCTTTTGAAATTACATACATTTTCTTGATTTGGATGTGTTAAAGAAGGATAATTATACCCTGAAGGGAAGACTGAGAATAACTTTGTGTAACTATTCACACTCGTCTTGGATCCTATTCCAAAATGTAACCGGGAAATCAGAGAATGCTTTTTAGGTAATGGGATGAAAAGTTAAAAAAAACGGACCAAAAAGATTCTCGACTTTTGAAAATGACATGTGCAAATGTGAAACTACACACCGCCTGCTTGACTGACGGGCACCGACAGGCTGACAGTCTCCTCCCCCTGCGCACGACGGTGGTCCTCCAGCCAGGCCCCCAAGGGAGACTGCTGAACTCCTGCCTTGTTGGTGGGCTTACTCTGGTCTCACCAGACCACAACCTCAGTCACAGGTATGGAAACGCATCTTACATACAACGAACATGCTAAGTGTAATGCGTGGATATCACACTTTAGAGGACACAACTCAGATCACACAGAAAATGGGGAAGCGCTTTGGGAAAACCACACGCAGCATCTGAGAAACCAGGACATGGCTGATCTGTCCTTCTTGACTTCAAACCAGAGCAGGGAGGCCCGCTGGGCCATTCCCGGGGAACCACGGTGGCTGGTGTGGGGACTGTCCTGCTCACACGCCTGCGCGGAGCCCAGGGCAAGAACCTCGATCTCCGTGGTCTCTGCAGTCGTGCGCCAAGTGTGTCCCCTCCCGCCTCCACTCCGGGCGCCACGCCCCCTCACCTGCTCTGCAGACGCACAGGACCCAGGCAGGTCCTCCTGCAGCAAGTCCAGCTGCAGCGGCGAGCTGCCTCTCGAGCTGAGAAACGGGGGATCGTCGCTCTGGCTGTCCCAGGGCTCCCCAGCCCTCTGGTCAGTGACTGGAGGTGGCGCTGCCACGTGGGGAGCCACCGCCGACACCAAGGGCGGGGTTTCAGAAGGGCCTGCTACTCCCAGGAGTGGACACGGAGAGAACGTTGGTGCCAACAGATGACAGGCCGGGGGGTCAGGTAGAAAAATGGTCACGTAAGGCAAAGGGACAGCTGGGAAAGGCAGCCTGGGCAGACAGTCCAGTGCTGTCACTGAGGCTTCGTACTCTCTTCCCAGTGAGGTCACGGAGGGCAGGGGGAACGCTGGGATGAGGTATGGGGCCTGGCTGGGGGCCGCCACCGCAGCCGGGAGCGACAGGCCAGGGGTGTGGAGAGCAGCGGCGGGGGCCGAGCACCAGGGCTGCGGGTTCTGGGCGTCCACCCTGACGTGGGGACAGAAGGTGTCCCCAGCGCACTGGCTGTCCAGCGGCTCTCGCAGCTTCTTACGCCTGTGCTTCCCCTTCTTGCAACTGGCCGGCCGGGTCTGCTTGGAAGTCGAGTCTCCTGAGAGGACAGAGAGGAGGCACACGGTGGAGACCGAACTGAAGGGGGGAGGCTGCCCTGTGGGGGGAGGGGCGGCGGTGACAGGGAGATCACGACACCAACTCTGTCTGCTCAGGGACTGCGAGCAGCTCGGAGGAGATGAGCAAAATCCCAGGTACAAGTAATGCTAAAAATAAACTGATGCCCTGGTAGGTGTGGCTCAGTGGACTGAGTGCCGGCCTGCAAACCAAAGCGGCGCTGGTTCGATTCCCACTCAGGGCACGTGCCTGGGTGTGGGCCAGGTCCCCAGTATGGGGTGCGTGAGAGGCAACCACACCTGGATACTGTTCTACCTTTCTTCCTCCTTCCCTTCCCCTCTGCCTAAAAATAATAAATAAACTCTTTAAAATCAAATAAAAATAAACTGATGCAAGCACCTCTCCATCAGCTCCTCATCAGTTTCATAGCCCCTACCTCCTGGTACTACTGACAGGTGACTTACAAACCTGGCGGCTACATACAGGAATGAAATGCAATTAAAAAACTTAGTTACCTTGAACACAGGACTCTTTAGCCTTGCTTCTGCTTTCCTGCTGAAGATAGGAGCTGTAGGGAGATGACAAGATCTTCTCCCGGAACCTGTCCACATAGTTCTGCTCCTCCTTCTGTGTGTGGGCCGACAGGACAGCCTTCGTGAGCCCCACGTGCCTGAAGTCCTCCGCAGTCAGCGGGGACGCCTGCGTCGGGGGTGCCCCAGGCTCACAGGTGGCAGTGGCTTCCTCAGCTGGAGTCAATTCTGCTGAGGAAGAAGAAAGATTTAATTTCAATTGCTAATGACTACTTGTATTTCTTCAGTTTCACCAATTTACCAACCTTTCAGTAAGTTTTATGAACATTATTACAGCAGCTAGAACAAAAATTTCATCAACCTAGCACACACACTCTGTTTTTCTGCCTGTCTTCACAGTCTTTGTATACCTGTGTATTCATTTTACAGAGCTGTAGTACCCGAAACTTATGGATTTCTTTAAATCTTGCTTTTATTGTAAATATTTTCCTATCTCCCTAAACTCTTAAAAATGTTCCTTTTCATCTCTGAATTTATTTTTTAGTCTGTAATATATTCATGTGGTTCGAAAATCAACAAGCTCTCTTTGGCTCATCAGCAACACCATCCGATCTCACAACGGCTGGTCTCTGGCCTCTCCCCACCAGCCCACGGCCCCGTCAGCACTGTACTCTCCCCTCAAGGGGGCGCTGTGAGTGCTACAGGAGGGTGGCTTCCCTGAGGACCAGGGACAGGGAGGGGCACAGGTTGATGGGCATACCGTGGAACACAAAGGTCAATCAGAGCTAATCTGGAAACCTGATATAACACATCTGTCACTGTTTTTTTTTCCTTCACCCACCAAACTGTGATGAGTAATAAGTCAAAAGAATAGGAGGCAGTAAAAAGGAATAAAAAGAAAATATCAGAGCTATTTACCAAGTCATTACATTGCTAAATGAACAGAGTGGTCAAACACAAGATTTCTGTGTGTGTGTGTTTCTGCAGAGACACACACACACACACACACACACACACACACACACACACACACGCGCGTGACGTACCCAGGCCCAATTACAAAGTGTGAAACAGACGCCTTCTCTTGAGGTCAGCCACCCGGTGGCCTGCCCGCATCAGCAGCGGCCACACCGACTGAGGGCTTGTCGCCATAGGCAGCATTCCAAGTGCTTCCATGTGTCAGCTGATTTGACTGACAAATGACATGACTAAGAAATAGAGTCTACAATACATGTATATATGTAACCAACATAACGAGACACTTCCCAAAATGCTTGAACTGAATTAAAGAAAAAGTGTTTGTAACGTAGAAGTTATTGCTCAGCAAAGGGTATAAATGACTTTTATCTCCTCACAGCAGCATGTCTAGTGTGCAGTCTGTGAATGAAGTCCAAGGTCAGTGTGGTACCTGGCTCTGGCGGTGGCACGTGGACCATGGTGCTGCTGTAACTGCACTGGCTGATGCCGGAGCCCAGGCTCAGCGCCGCGGTGGACAGGCTCTGTGGAGCACCCCCTTTGGTGCTGGCGGGCCGTCTGTGAGTGGGCACTTCCGACTTAGCTGTGGCTGGGAGCTGGGAAACAGCTGGAGACATGAGAACAACACACAGTGAAAAGACTTAACTCCCAACGGGAAATTTATGTGAGACACTGAACAGTTCAGACATTGGTAACTCACAAATGATAACCTATGGACCATAAAGAGGGGTTGAAACAGGGATTGATTAACTACAATGAAAGAATTAATGCCACAAAATTAGAAACAGAGAGAAAGGGGTGGCTTTGTAGTAATGCTTTTCCTCTAACAATGAGAGGCACTCCTGTTACCTTGCAAAGCCTGGACATCGTCTGCCTTGTGGTGCTGTCTGTCTTCCTCTGAGGATGACGTTGTATTCGTACAGGATATGCACTTTCTTTTCAAAGCTGGAATGTTGTAGCTCTTCAGGTATCTGCGACAACACACTGAGGTCAGGTAGTCTTACCTGGCCCCTAACTTTGTCATCAGCCTCTTTGCTTTTTTAACACCGCTTCTGTTTGGGACGGACTGTACTTCCTTTTATTAAACAAAGAAACAGAATACACTTGACATGTAACACTGTATCGATCTAAGGTGTGCAGCATGTTGACACATTAATACACTGTAACAGGACCGCAGATGTAGATCCGTATCACCTTACACAATGCAGTATGTTCGCTCTACTGCGCATCACATCTCTCGCTTCCCCACCACTCAAAGTGCGTTCCCTTAAACACCATCACACTTACCCCGTGCCCAACCCCCTGGTGACCCTCATTTTTTTTAACACGTTTAACTTTTTGGGATTTCACGTATGTGCTACCCTAAGAACAGGACTTTATGTTCGACTTATCTTGCTTATTAGCACACTGTGCTGAAGGTCCGTTCACATTGTTCCAAGTGGGAGGATGCCTTCCTCCCTCACGGCTGAAATATATTCCACTGTGTACACACCGTGCTTTTTAAAATCCACCTGCTGACGAGCATTTGGGGTGTTCCCGCAATCAGGTGATCATGAATAATGCTGTGCTAAACACGGGAGGACATGTATCTCGTCAAAACCCTGTTTTCATTTCCTCTGGGTTCAACCCTGAGGTTGAACTTCTGAAGTATATGGTAGATTTCTTTTTAATTTTGGGTGAGCCTCCATACTGATTTCCACAGTGGTTGGACTAGTTTGCATTTCCACCAACAACGTGTGAGGGTTCGTTCCCTTTTCACATCCTTCCCAGCACCTACTGTCTGTCTTCTTGCTGATATCTACTCTGAAAAGGTGTGAGGTAATAGCTCATTATTGTGGTCTTGATTAGCATTTCCATGATGATTAGGGATACCGAACATCATTTCATGCGCTGATTGGCTATTTTGATGTCTTCTTTGGAAAAAATGTCTATTTAGTTCTACCCATTTAAAAGTCAGATCTTTTTTGTTGTTGCTGTTGTTGACTGATTCCTTTGTATTTTTTGGATATTAGCCCCCTATCTGCTATAGGGTTTACAAAAATCTCCATTCTGTAGGTTGGTTTCAAATTTTGTTCTTTTGCTGTGCAAGAAGCTTTTGCGTTGGATGCAGTTCCACTTTGGGACTTCTGTTGTTGTTCGTGCTTCTGGTATCGTATTAAAAAATCATTGCCAAGAACAGCATCAGTCAGCTTCTTCCCCATGTTTTCTTCCAGTTTTATGGTATTGAGTCTTATATTTTAGTCTTTCATCTATTTTGAGTTAATTTTTCTGAGTGGCATTGGATGGGGTCTAGTTTCATGGCTTTGGATACGTTTCCCCAATTTTCCCAGCACGATATGTTAGGGAAACTATCCTTTTCCTATTGGGTATTCTTGGCTCCCCGTCAAATACTAGTTGAATATATTATACCTGTGTCTATATCAGCATCCATACACAGCATCGCTGTGTTTATCTGTGTGCATACTGCTTTTATTACTATAACTTTGTAGTATTACTTGAAATCTGGAGGTGAGATACATCTGAACTTGTCTTTTTTCCCTGAGGCTTGCTTCAGAGTCTTTTGTGACTCCACACAAATTTTCGGATTGTTTCTCCTGTTTCTCGGAAGAATGCCTTTGGTGTTTTGATGGGGGCCGCACTGAACCTGTAGACAGCTTTGGGCCATACTTGGCCATTTTAACAATATTACTTCTTCCTACCCATGAACATGCAATGTCTACATTTGCTTGTGTCTTCTTCAGTTTCTTTCAGCAAAGCCTTGTAGTTCCCACCGCACAGATCTTTCACTTCTCTGGTTAAATCTACTCCTATGTATTTTACTGTTTTGATGCTACTGTGAATGAGACGATTTTCTTCACTTCTCTCCAGATGCTTTGCCGTTGGTGTAAAGGAATGCAATGGACCGCTGTGCTGACTCTGCACCCCGCCACTTCACTGACACCGCTGCTTCATTCCGCCAGGTTCTGACGGCCTCTTTGGGATTCCCTATATGTAAGATCAGATCACAGCAAACAGCAACACTTTTACTTCTTCCTTTCCAGTTTGGATGCCTCTTATTTTTGGATTTTTAGTCTTATATTGAATAGGAGTGGCGAGAGTGGGCATCCGTTACTGACCTTAAAGAAAACACTTCCCCCCCCGCCGAGTATAATGCTAGCTGTGGGTTGGCTGTTCATGGCCTTTACTGTGTTAAGGTATGTTCCTTCTATATGCAATTTGTAGAGGTTTTATTTTTTTAAATCATAAAAGGATGCTGTATTTTACCAAATGCTTTTTCTACATTCTGGGAATGAATCCTTGCATTCCAGGGATAAACTCCACTTGCTCATGGGGTATAACCCTTTCAATGTGTTGTTCAATTTGCTCACAGTCTGCTAACAACTCCTGTATCTACGTCCATCAGGAACACGGGTCTAGCTCTCTCTCCCTGCGGTGCCCCTGCCTGGCTTCGGCACCCACGCGGTGCTGGTGCTCGCTCTGTCTGGAGCGCCCACTGTCCTCACGCTGACTTTTCGAATGGTGTCTGATAGCTCCTGTAGAGTTTATTCACTCTTCAAAAATATTGGTTTTCTCTCTTCTTCAACCATAATCATTTTTAGAGTCCTATCCTCCACCACATTAATTCTTCCATCTGACCTGTTGTATTTCCAATGAGTTCTTTTTGTTTAAAGATTTTACTTATTTATTATTAGAGAGAGGGAAGGACTGGAGAAAGAGTGGGAGAGAAACATCAATGTGCAAGAGACACATGGATTGGCTGCCTCTTGCATGCCCCACACCAGGGACCTGGACCACAACCCAGGCATGTGTCCTGAAAGGGAATCGAACCCATGACCCCTTGATCCACAGGCTGGCACTCAATCCACTGAGCTACACCAGTGAGGGCTCTGATGCATTCTTTATCTCCTTTATGGAGTTCTTCAGTTCCACAATTCAATGCTTTTTTAGAATTTTAATCTTTTTGGTACAGTACTCCTTCTATTCGTTAGCTTCATTCCTGAGATCACTGTATCACCCTTCTGAGTTTTCTTGCAGCTTGCTGGATTTCTTCACACAGCTAGTTTGCACTTTTATCAGTTAGACAGCAATATGCCATGGCTTTGCATCCAGTTGTTGGGAAATTGCTATCTTCTCTTTGTGACCCACCTTGCTGTGATGTTTCATGGTATTTGATGTAAAGTGCCTCTCTTGCTGCCCTGGAAGCAGCCAACCCCTTTCTTATTTGGGCAAGGACTTGTCCACTTTGTTTTTAACAGTTGAATAGGTTGGTAATGACAAACCCCCCTTTGCTTTCTTCCAGGAAGTGGTGCTATGGTAACAAGTTCGGGGTTTGCCTTACCAGTGCTAAGGCTGGGAGCGCACACCTTTAGAAAAGCTGCTAGAAGGAAAAACTAAGTACAGAGCAGAACGGAGAACTGTGTACTCAGCACTGGGGCTTTAGGTGGGCCCGTGGCCTGAGAGAGGGGTCCTCAGGTTGGGGGTGGGCACCCCCAGAGCTTCATGGACAATCTTGCCAGAATCCCGAGCAGACATCTTCCTTCTGTTGTCCTTGCCTGCCTACGTCCTTTTCCTTCCCCTCACTGTGGTCTCTCCTCAGGGAGCAACGATCCCTCCAACTGCGGGACGCCCGACGAGGCCATCCCCAGCCCACCATGCTCACTCCCCCTCTCCGCTGCCAGGAAGGCCGTGCGGGCCCCCTGCCGGCCCTGCTGCCACTGCTGCGGCCGCCCGCCCACGCGCAGGTTACAGGTGGATGGGTCTGTCGGGTGTACTGCTACGCCGTGCAGAGGCGCTTTCTCACAGTTAAGGATGTCCAAGAAGTTGAAAATTGAAGGAGAGAGAAGAAAGGATGATGCTGACCGTGTACTTCTTCCCTGATGGCATCTTCCTCGACATCCCAGCCTGAATTGCTGGGTGGCTGCCTCTCTTTTACTGTGGGTGTGAACTGATCTCACAATATTAAAATCTGAAAAGTGCAGGTCTTGTCTTAACTATCCAGTAGCTTCTTCAGAAAAGAAATGTATCTTATATTTTTTGCATCCCCCAAAATGCTGCATATATTATAAACTATATGTAGTAAGTAGGCAGTCCATAAATACCTATCAGTTTATAGTAAAAAATCAAGACAACAGCTATAAAATATTATATAAAGGCTTCACAGACACAATGTTATGCCTTTGGAAAAACTAACATGTTATCAAAATGTGTTTCATACCTGATAACACTGTCAATGCAGTTTATCTGCTGATAGGATGGGCTATGCTGATCTTTTCTCAAATCCTCACAAGACTCTGTGTTCACACCAGTGTTTTTCAATGTCTGTAAGGACGAAAAGGCCTTCTGCTCACCTAAAACAGAATGAAAGTATGAACAATTAAAAACAATCATTCTTGTTTTAAAAAGATTTTATTTTTACTTATTTTTAGAGAGAGGGGAAGGGAGGGAGGGAGGGAGGGAGGGAGGGAGAGAAACATCACTGTGCCAGAGGGACGTGGATCGGCTGCCTCTCGTGCGCCCCAACCAGGGACCTGGCTGGCAGCCCAGGCACGTGCCCTGACAGGGATCAAACCAGTGACCTTTTGATTTGCAGGCTGGTGCTCAATCCACAGAGCCACACCAGCCAGGGCTAGAAATACATTGTTCTTAAGAACATGCACTTATTCAGCAAAGTGAAATCATGGTACTTCAGAATAAATACATTCCATAGAGTATCATGCAGCTACTACAAATGAGCTCAGTTCTGAATGCACTGATACAAAAAGATACGCATGTGACTATGTTTTAAAAAGGAGAGAAACAAATACTTGAGGCGAACGGTACCCAGGAATAAAGCTACTGGGTGAAGGGTTGGTGATCTGAAACCACCTGCACGACTGGGCCGTCCTGGCACCACGGGTAGGTACCTGGCACTGTGCACACCTTAGGTGTCACCATGAGAAGTGCACAGTGCAGCCCACGCTGGCCTGGCGCCCAACGGCGCTTTCTGTGATGCCCACGGGCAGATGGTAAGAAACTGAATAAAGTGGGAGGGGACGAAGGATTTCTACTCTGAGAACACACACAGAGGTCGGGACGTGACACTGTGACCCTGACAGGGGTGTGACTGTGAGGTCCTGGGCCAAGGCAGAGCACACAGCACTGACCGGACCGGACGATAAAGAAAACACTTTGAAAACTTAGGTTTTAAATCCGCCCAAAGAATTTTCTCTGCCAAGACAAGGGATAACAATACACAGCAAGAAAGACATTTAGGATGAACTCTCACGGAGAGAAGGAATCTGACACTTTTGAGGGGCACAAAAAGCCGTTATGTCTACCTTGTTGCACCCTCACATCACAGAAGAAACACAGAATGCTAAGCCCCCACCAAGGAGAGAGGAGCACAGCGAAGTGCGGGCTCGCTGAGTCTGGGGGGCTCGCTGCCGGCCACGGGACAGCCCGCAGGAGCGGGCCTGGCCTTTCTGCTGTGGGCGCCATGTCCAGTCCAGACAACGGCAGCGGTCACTGCCGACAGAGAGAAACTCCCCCGCTACCTCGTGAACGGACAACAGTAGAGACTGCACATCATGCTCAGGTGCCCAAACCTGTAACGACTCCCAAATTCGCATCAGGGAGGACAATGAAGGGGAAGTCCGCTAAATCAGAAGTGAATAAAGTTGGATGTCAACCTCACCGAACTCTCCTCTGCCACATAACGCAAGTAGGTTCAGTTTTTCAAACGAATATAATACATCATGATAGACCTGATTCCTATGCAGCGCTGCTTAAGTCATATTTGAAAAAATATACATATATAAAGAAAAATGCCAAGTTTTTCATTCAACTTAGGTCATAAGAGTTCTCCATTTGTTTGAAATGACAAGGATTAGTATTTTACTATACTTTATTACCTGAAATGTATTTTCAAATGAATGTTTGGTTTATAGATAGTTCATGAGGGGGAATCTATGTTTATGCTGGCATCAGAAATGTCAATTCTGCCCTGGCTGGTGTAGCTCAGTGGATTGAGCACAGGCCTGTGAAGCAAAGGATCACGGTTTGATTCCCAGTCAGGGCGCATGCCTGGGTTGCAGGCCAGTTCCCAGTGGTGGATGCATGAGAGGCAACCACACACTGATATTTCTCTCCCTCTCTTCTTCCCTTCCCCTCTCTCAGAAAGAAAGAAAGAAAAGAAAGAAAGACAGAAAGACAGACAGACAGAAAGAAAGAAAGAAATGTCAATTCTTTAGTAGAAGTACATTGCAATTATGCTTTTTCTTGATTTTCTTTAATTTTTAGAGAGGAGAAGGAAAGGAGACAGAGAGGGACAGAAACATCCGTGTGTGAGAAACACATCAACTGGTTGTCCCCAACCGGAGAGACCTGTCCTATAACCCAGGCATGTGCCCTGACTGGGAACTGAACCAGCAAACAACACTTTGGTTTGCAGGCTGGTGCTCAACCCACTGGCTGGAGCCACACCAGCCAGAAGAAGCAACCACGCTCTAGTGCCCTTGAGTTCTGAGCAGAGCCCTCGCTGCTGCCATCATTATCATCACTATTACTATCCTGGCAAGTGACCCTCAAAGGGACAGCATGACATTATGGCCTCATGCTCACACACTCACACCCCACATCCATGCAGAAGAGTGCAGGGCGCACCAGGGGCCCTGCCAACTCACCGCCAGGCTGTCCTGGGCGTGTCCGCAATGCTTGCTTGTTGGGTGATTTGGTCATTGACTCGATGTACAGCTGCTGACCCAGATTTTTAATTTTGTTTACACTGGCATAGACCTGCTGCAAAGTCAACTTAGGGGAAAGAATAAAGTGTGTTTCAAATGTTATAAAAATGAACATTGAAAGGCACATAAACAAAATACATTTAACTTCTGGTTCTCTGAACACATGATGACGAAAAGCAAAGTAACAACCCGAATTCAGTTCCCCGCCACACTACAGTAATGCGGACAAAACTAAGTAAATCTGCTCACGAACTGACAGCCATTGGAGGGGCGGGGACACGGGGGCTGGGGAAAAAGGTGAAGGGAGTAAGCAGCAAACAAACAAACAAAACACACACCCTCCCAGACAGATAACAGCCTGGTGATGCCAGAAGGAAAGGGGGTGAGGGGAGGCAGAAGAGGGTAAAAGGGGCTGCAAATGGTGACAGGAGACTTGGGGTGATGAAAACAGGGTACAGTGTACAGATGATGTGTTACAGAATTGTACACCTGAAACCTGTATAATTTTATTAACCAATGTCGCCCCAGTAAATTCAATAAAAATAAATAGTCTCTTTATAACATGCTAATATTTAGAAAGCACGCTATCAACCCAAATATCACTTTCTTTCCGAAGATGGTATTTTCAGTTTCCCAAACCAGATGAGAATCTCTGCTAACACGGAGGGTCTTCATGTTGGGGCTGGACCGAGAGGCCAGAGCCAGGCTGCAGACCCAGTACCGTGGCCCAGGTAACGAGACAGCGGGGGGGAAAGGGTGCACACCTGCCCACTCACCGGCTCCTTCTGGGCGTCCTCCCTGCAGGGCCCGCTGGACTCACTCGAGGAGGCCACGCTGACGTGCTGCTCCTGGGACCCGCTGCTACCCAGGCTGCCGTAGCCACTGGACGCGCTCACGTGAACTGGCTGCAAGGACAGAGGCCAACGTGGGGGTTACTGGCCACGTGCAGGTCAGAGTTAAGCATCGGCTCCCCAGAGCTCATCTAAGTCATCACCAAGTGAAGACTGACATTTCTGAAATCCTACATGAAGTGTGTGAAGGTTGACGTGCTTCGCCCTAATGCAGACATGCCATGAGAAACATTCCCCTCGCATTTCTGTAATTTTCAAGGGCAAAAGCTAGTTTTCTAGTCTAAGTAGGTATTTCTGGAACAAAAAAAAATTTTAAAGCCACACTGTGATTTACCAGAATCGGCAAGTAGCTTGTTCTGTAGGCTGTGTGTAGGATAGACAGAGGGAGCGAGACACACAGCACGGCTCCCCCAGGAGCTCCTGTGGCACACGCCGTGTGAGCCCTGGGGGGTTCACGAGACCCTGTGACACCTTCAGCACCTGCTTTCCAAGTTCACTGCTTGAATCTCTAATAGAAATCACTTTTGCTAACTGTTTTCAATAAGCTGTTTTTCCTACTTCTGCCTTATAATAACCAGACACTAAGACTGGCCAGCCCTCTCCCCCACCTTGAAAACTGGAATTATTCTAAAAAATACTCAAGCCAAAACCCAGAGGCTGAGCACACTGGTTGTTCTTGGAATACGAGAAGAATTCTCTCACTCAGAATCACTTCTCTGTCTCACTGCTCACTCTCAGTTTTGTTGTCTGAAATTGAGTTATTACAAAATGTTCTGTGTATTTAATACAGAAAAAGGGGAAAAGATTAATAAATTTTAATTTCAAAAACATTAGAGAGGAAGACAAAAACCTTGGGAATGCAGAGGGTAAGGACTTCTCTCCGCAGTTTATGTCTGTGAAGTGACCTCACTAAGACAGAATACTAACACAAAATACTATAATGGGAATTTCGTGTTGTTTTTTAAAATCATTTGATCTCTGACCAGTGTGGCTCCATTGACTGGGAGTCACCTGGCAAAGCACAAGGTCACCAGTTCAATCCCTGGTCAGGATACAGGCCTGGGTTGCGGGCCAGGTCCCTGGTCGGGGTGCATACGAGAGGCAGCGGATTGATGTTTGTCTTGTACTGATGTTCCCGTTCTCCTCCTCCCCTCCCCCTCTATCTAAAAGTAAACAAACATAATCCTTTTAAAAACCTCTCACTTTACCTGTAACAGAAGTTTGTGAATTTGTTCTTGTAATTCTGTTATGTCTTTGTCACTGTTGTTCGTCTTTTTTATTCTGGCAGCAAAGACATCCTCATTCAATGGACTCCTACAAAATACCAAGTGCAGGTTGAGCCAAGCGATGTAAAATTCATTGCCAGTGAAGTCTAATGTGTCTTTTAATATTCAAATAATAAACCTATGTTTCTACAATACAGACTCTGAATACAGAAAATACGAAGCTAAAATTCTACGCACAGAATAGACGAGAAAATACTGATAAACATCCAACAACTACTGGTCTCATAATTTAGCAGGAACCGAGTAACCCACTGTAGGAAACCTAGGACCCTAGGTTTGCCAAGCACCACTGAGTGGTTGAAGCACCTAACACCTTAAAGCCAGGTAATAAAGATGAATTTGCGACATGCCCTAGTGGTAACAATGTGGCCGTCAGAATCCCTCCAAGTCTTCTCTCTGTCCAAATTCTAGAGCATTTTGCATCTTCTACCTGCACTCCGTGAGGAGCAGACATGCACACGGGAGAACAAGGAAGAGGCCTGACGCCTCTCTGGGCCCTTGATGGGGAGGCAGTGGGCCAGCCCTATATCGTGAGAATGGCCAGAGATTTCTACACCCCATGACAAGCCAGGTGCCAAGTGCTCTACCAGGTGCCGTCTGCTTCACCTGAAGTGGACGCTTGTGCCAGGTTACCTAGCTGGTGCGGTCTAAGCAGGGAGTCTGGAAGGGACCAGACGTGCTCCCCATACTGACCGCCTCTCGCTATCTCGGTAAAAGCAAGCACTGCAAAGGAGGTATACTGAGTCAGATCTGGCATGTCCAGGTCCTCGAAAGCCCCAGGAGGAGGAATGGCCCTGAGGTCAGAGTTCACATAGCCAAGCAGCAGGGTGGGACTCAGGAGCCAGTGTGGGACTCCCCCGCTGTGCTATCCTGTGGCTTCTGTTGCAGAACTGTGCAGCTTCGTGCCCTACAGACCGCAAGGCTTCCCCAGACAGAAATCATCACCACAATGCCACAGGGTGTCAGCAGTATCAGAAAAGTCGTCAGGAGCAGCTCCACCTTCGGACAGTATGCCCTTTGTGTCCGTCGGCGCAGCACAGTGCATGCTGTGCATAAGTGAGAAACTGCACTGGAACGCACAGCTGGACACACAGTGGCTTTTATGTAATTGGTGGGTCTTGGTCTGTCTCTTCCTGTAGGGTCAGGCCGTCCTGTGCACTGTGTTCTCCCCTCCTGTGCCCACGGCAGTGCCTGGCACAGGATGGAATGAACGTCAGTGGAGAATCAGTCTGGGAACCGAGCACTTTGGATTCATGATCTACATACTCCCACACTAGGGGCCTGGATGTCTCCCTGAGGTGTCTGCATTTTATTTTTCAAGTAAAATTCAGAAACAGAAACAAAACAGATGGATTTGTGGTAGGAGATTTGGATGTTCCCACTTGTGAAACTTTGTACAAAACAAAGTTGTCTCTTTAATCAGTAATTATGATGCAAGATGACTGCCACCTGGGTGAGATCGCACAGCTGTCACTGTCGAGGGCTGATGCAGGACAGTGACGGGTGGTGGGGAGAAGGTTGGCACCCGGCCTCCCCAGAGACTCCTCCATGGGCCCCGGGGCAGTAACTCTGGTTCCCCCACTACGGATTCTTCCGTGAAAGGGCTGCTACCAGCACCTAACCTGCCCATGCACAGGGCTGCTGGGAGGGACCCACACAGAGATAGGGACAGTCCCTGCTGAACTCTCTCAGGGCCCCATTCCCCTTTCAACTGTCACACTGTCCTAAACCCTGCTGACCGTCTCTATTTACTGCTTCTCCACTGCACTGTGGGCTTCAGGACAGTTGCAAGAGCATCTGTCATCTCATTCCCAGGGTCTAGCATAGTCCCTGTAACAGTATATGATCTGTAAATACTTATTTAAGGAATAAATGCATTAAAATGACTTATAAATGTAATGGATAATTATTGTACAAGAGTAATACTTACTAGACTCTTGAGTTCTTTCTCTTAATTCTAAATCATGAGACATGAATATTGTAGTATATTCTTTAAAAACACAGTTCTCAATTTACATAAAACTTTTAATTAACTTATTTTTTAGAGGGAGGGGAGGGGAGGGAGAAAGAGAGGGAGAGAAGCACTGATTGGTTGCGCCCTGACTGGAGACCCAACCCACGGCCCAGGCATGTGCTTATTTCTAATCGAGAATCAAACTGGCGACCTTTTGCTTCGTGGGTTGACACTTAACCACCTGAGCCACACGGATCAGGGAACTGTTAATTTTTAAAAATTGTCGCAGCATTGTGAGTCCTTATATGTCACGTTAATTTCATATGTATTCAATCAAATAACTGAAAGGACGACTTGAGGAACCCAGGCCTCATCGCCAGCACGGACTACGGAGAGCACAGAGACCAACCAACAGACGCCTGGACGGACGTCTTCTATTTATTAGTCTGAGTTCACGCTAAGCAAGCATCTGATTTTATATTCATTTCCCAATAAGTTTCCCTGCCAAGGAAAAAAGTCCTTTGTGACCAACATGCACAGCACTTACTTGGCAATCATATTTCTTATCTTAATTGCTACATTAGCTTTTTGGCACATGTCAGTCTCTTTGAGCTAGGGTGGCAAGGAGCTCGTTTCTTCCATTAAGCTTCCAGCCCTGCTCTGCTGAGAGCCGAGCCCTGGAGGACCAAGAGGCAGGTGCGCTGTGGAGCCCATCCCTCACCACGGCTGTGCACACACGACACAGTCCGAGACGTGGTCAAACGGGCCATGAGGCACACCGGCTGCTCTCGGGTTATGCTTATGGGCACACAGCCACATAACAAAATTCGAGAGACACCTCGGCCTCAGCAGGATGATAAAGTTCAATTTCCATCCTTAAAATAAAGACATCAAAGGGAACCTATGGCCCAGTCGAGGAACCTATACATCAATTTTAAATGGACCAAAAAGTGAAGGGACGAGGAGCATTTTAGGCTCTGAGGGTGGTGGGCCAGGCTGCTCTCCATCCAGTTCCCAGATCATGTCAAATGAACAGGAAAGAGCAATCAAAAAGGCTTGAACCAGCCATGCAGGCAGGAAAACAAATGTTAAAGAACCTTAAAAATTTTAAAAAGGCAAAAAAATTTACATCCACACTCCCACTACCCCACACAAAAACAAAATTTATATTTTATTTCCTTCTAATCTTTTTCATATTTCGTAGTGTTTGCATTTAGACAATTATAATTGCATGGTATAAACAATTTTGTACGCTGCTTTTTACATCCAAATACATCACTTTCCCATGTTGTACAATCTATGGAAGAATTTTTAAAATTGTATTTTATTGATTATGCCATTACAGTTGTCTCCATTTCCCCCCTTTGTTGCCCTCCACCCAGCACTCCCCATTCCCTCAGGCAGTCCCCCCACCATGGTTTTTGTCCATGGGTCATGCACGTAAGTTCTTTGGTTTCTTCATTTCCTATATACTGTACTTTACACCCCCAGGGCTATTCTGTAACTACCTATTTGTATTTCTTAATCCCCTCGCCTGTGCACCCATTCTCCCCCTCCCCCTCCCATCTGGCAACCATTGAAATGCAATCCATACCCATGATTCTGTCCCTGTTCCTCTTATTGCTTAGTTTGTTTTTTAGATTCATTTATTGATAGATATGTATTTGTTCCCATTTTATTGTTCATAGTTTTTATCTTCTTTTTCTTAAATAAGTCCCTTTGATATTTCACATAATAATGGCTTGGTGATGATGAACTCCTTTAGTTTTTTTCTTGCCTGGAAAACCCTTTATCCACCCTTCTATTCTAAATGATAAGTTTTGCTGGGTAGAGCAATCTTGGCTGTAGGTCCCTGCTTTTCATGACTTGAAGTATTTCTTGCCAATCCCTTCTAGCCTACAAAGTTCCTGCGCAGAAATCAGCTGAGAGTCTTATGGGAACTCCCCTGTGGGTAACTGTTTTTTCCTTGCTGCTTCTAAGATTCTCTCTTTACCTTTAACCTTTGGGCATTTTAATTATGATGTGTCTGGGAGTGGATCTCTTTGCATCCATCTGGTGTGGGACTCTCTGTGCTTCCTGGACTTGCATGTCTATTTCCTTCATAAAATTAGGGAAGTTTTCTGTCATTATTTTTTCAGATAGATTTCCAATTTCTTGCCGTTTTCCTTCTGGCACCCCTGTGATGCAAACGTTGGACTTCTTGAAATTGTCCCAGAGGCTGCTTACATTATTCTTTTTTTTTTCTAATCTTTTTTCTTCTTCTTGTTCTGAAGAGTTGTTTTTTGCTTCCTTATGTTCCAAATCATTGATTTGATTCTTGGCTTCATTCATTATACTGTTGTTTCCCTGCAAATTGTTCTTTATTTCAATTAGTGTATCCTTTATTTCTGACTAGATGTTCTTTATGCTGCCAAGGTCCTCACTAAGTTCCTTGAGCATCCTTATGACCAGTGTTTTGAACTGTGCATCTGATAGATTGCTTATCTCCACTTTACAGTTCTTTTTCTGGACTTTTTTTGTGTTCTTTCATTTGGGCCATGTTTCTCTTCCTCGTGTTGGCAGCCTCCCTGAGATTGTTTCTGTGTATTAGGTGGAGCTGCTGTGACTCCCTATCTTGGTAGAGTAGTCTAATGTAGTAGGTGCCCTGTAGGGTCCAGTGGCACAGCCTCCCGTCACCCAAGTTCGGTACTCAAGGTATACCCTTTGTGTGGGCTAAGTATACCCTCATCTCATAGTTGAGCCTTGGTTACTCTTGGCAGGTCAGTGGGAGGGATTCACCCAGGACAGTCAGCTGCAAGGGTTGGCTGTGACCACTGACCACCAACCTCTGTCCTCCATGGAGGATCAGCTGTTCAGTGGTGGGGTGGTAGTGCTTTAACATAGTCTGTTGCTGTCCATTGGGTGCACTGTCCCTGGAGTTTCCTGGGTAGTACAGGCCAAGGTCAGACCCCACTTGTATTTTGACCAGGGCCACCCTTCCTGAGCTATAAAGCAGTCTGAGATGGCTATTCCTTGGGCTTGGCTTGGAGATTCCCAGGCAAAGCCAAGCTGTGAATCTAGGCTGGCTGCTGCTAGTACCTGTCCTGGGGTCACTTGGCAAGAGGTAAAGGGACGGAGGCTCACTGAAGTCAGCTGTTGCTTATTTGAAAAATTTAGGAAGTTGTGAAGCATGAGCCAAGACCAGTTATTCATATGAAAAAGCCACTGGTAAAAGTTGTAAATTGGGTGGGATGGAGCCTCAGGGACCTCCAGGGCAGGACAGTGTTAGCCTGGTTGACAGGGTCTCAGATATGACACCTGCCTGCCACCTCTGTGGGGGGAGGGTTGAAAAAAGGGACAGTGGCCTCTCCTCACCTTTCTGTCTGGGAGAAAGCGGTTCCCCAACTCTCACATGATGCCAGACACTTCAGTTCCCCCCGTACACCACTGGTGCCTTTCAAGCTGCTACCCCAGTGCGGGAGCTCAGAGGGAGTGAGTCTGACTAAGTCCACGTGTAGGTGTTTTAAGAGGAACTGTGTGGGACTCCAGAAGTTTCTTCCACTGACTCAATTCCTACTGGCTTTTCAGCCACAAGTTATGGGCATTTATCCTCCTGGCACTGGAATCCTAGACCAGAGGGCCTGGTGTGGGCCTTGGACTTCCTGCTCCCAAGATGTCCCTCCTGAATTTTTATCCACCACAAGCAGATGCGGGACCATCCTGTTCTGTTTCTCCGCTCCTCCTACCAGTCTGGATGGGTGTAATTTCTGTAACTCCACAGTTGTCAAACTTCCATTCAACTTGATTTCTCACAGTTCTGAGTGATGGCTGTTCTATAATTTAGTAGTAATTTTGATGTAGTCATGAGAGGAGGTGAGCTGTGTTTACCTATGCCGCCATCTTGACCAGAATTTGTAAAAATGTTTATTGACCAATATCATAACATGTCAAGCAAGTATTCTAGATTAGTTAACAATGTCCACTTAAGCTACTGTAAATTTGCCATTATGATTAAATCTCAAAATACACCTTTTCTCTCTATAGCTTTTCTGTGTTTACCCATTATTTCCTTAGAACATTTACGGATGAACCATAAGGTCAAAGACAGAAATCTTTCAAGGCCCTTGATACGTATTGCTAAACTATCCTCCAAAACCACACACAAAAAACCTTTTGTTTTTTTCCATTTAGTTCATGTGTTAACTGATTCAAGGTGGAGTAAGTACGTGAAGAAATATTATTTGATAAAACAAGATTCTTTTAGAGAATGTAAAAATGATGGGCTTACGTTCGGACTTTGTGCCGGCCCATGATGAAGGAGACCTTCCGGCTCCACGGGTTCACAAAGCTGGACCAGCTGGAGTCCAGGATGACGTAATCGCCATTCTGGGCACAAAATCTGACGGGTGCATGTTCAAAGGGAGGGTGGCCTGCATACTTCAGCACTATACAAAATAAGAGTTGAATACAAACGTTACATATGTCGGCATTTTCGGCATTTATTTATAAATTTTTAAGAATGTAAAAGTAGGAAAATAAGTTGTCTTAGCAGTTTCAACACATCATTGACCTGATTAAAGGTTAAGCTCTAATGAAAAATGAAACAAAAACTCAGATCCATGACTAAGAAAGTAACTGCCCCCCACAAAGAAGTCCGTCCTCACCTTTCTGGTGGACGGCGACCATCAGAGCACGATCTTCCGGGTGCAGGTATGTTAGGATGGACGTTCCGACCAGGTCCTGAGGGAGGTATCCCAGCAGAGGCACGGCTCTGGGCACAGACCCAGCACAGGCAACAGGTTATGAGCAGTACTTTTTACACTCAACCTACTTTAACAAAATACTTGTTCACTTAATTTTAAATATGAAAAAAAGGTGCACAAACACTGTGGGAAAATAGTCACACAATCTAAGAAATGTCGGTCATCTGACTCACTGCATCAAAATCGTCTGGGGACTCATGGGCTCGCCGCAGGCTCACAGGGCGGAGCTTCACGGGCAAGACCTGGAATCCAAGTTTCACAGGTCCAGCTGAGGTCCTATGTCCTCCACTCTGCTGCCATTTAAAAAGCATACAAAGATCACATCCAAACACAGACAAATGCTTATGACACTAAGTGAACACAGCACACTCCAAATCTGTATGGTATGATGCAAACAACACAAATAATGTCCTGCAAAGGCCACACCAGACAGACAGCCACTCACAGGACAACGGGTCTGTGGGTGAAGGTCGCGGTGCGGCCCTCGGGACAGCTTGGGAAGAACCACCCCCACAGACATTTTCTGCTACAAATTGAAAAATTGTCTAATGTGGTAAAATTTAAGCTACTTTCAGAATATTCTTGGTTATCTTACTTTCTATAGATTAGAGTAGACAAAGTAACTCACCAACTATTATTTTAGGGTATCTATTGTGAAATAAACCCATTTTCGGATGTTAAAATTTTTTAAAAAACAAAATGAACATATCATAATTGTACCAAGTTTTAACATTTATGCTTATGTGTGATATTGAGATTTCACAAGAAAAAATTTTAAATACATTGGGGGAAAATGGAGGGGTACTGATCAGGAGATAACATTTTATTTTTCCAAATAAAGACATTAAAAAACAACATCACTATTTTTTAAGTAAAAAAAATTATTTTAACACTTAAAAAAGTAGGAAGGAGCAAGTCAAAATAAATAATGATTCTTTAAATAAATTTAGTTTCATGCACACACATACAATCTGTCTTTTTTCCCCTCCCTTCAGAGTAAAAAAAAAGTCACCAACTGGTTCGGGAAGCACCTGTCTGGTGGAAATAACCCCAGACCAGGTGCCGGGGCCTGGAGTCCCAGGGTCACCTTGTCTGTGATTACAGAGCACATCCGTTCTTGGTAAACAAGAGGATGTTCATTGTCCTCTTGTGTAAAGGGAACAATAACTCCTGACTTACCTAAAAAGCAGACTATGAAATCAAATATAGCTTGCAAATCTTAGAAGGGTTTTGTATTTATTTTTCTTACCCGAGAAGCTCCACCCTGTGAGCCTGCGGTGAGCCCGGGAGTCCACATGTTGGCAGGTTCCCCAGAAGATTCTGATGCAGTGAGTCAGATGACCAACATTTCTTAGATTATGTGACTATTTTCCCACAGTATTTGTGCACCTTTTTTTCATATTTAAAAGATATTTATATTAAAAATGGAGACGACACAAATAATTTCAAACTAACAAAAATCAAAAGATAATGGGTAGGTAGCAGATATGTAATGTGTAAGTATTAAGCATGTGTAAACCTTTTCATATTTGTATTTATTTCCAGAAACAAATTTCTTTTAGGCTTAAGGAAGTACTTACCGTTCATCTATCTCAAGAAAAACACACCCTGGAGTGTGTGTTGTGGTAAAAATTCTTTTATCCACTGGGATTCGAGGAGCTATGGAAAACAGATATTCATTTAAAGGCAAATATCTAATTAATCATCCACTCAACTAACCACTTAACACAATTGCTACGTGAAGTGGTAAAGTCTCACTCTGAGCAGACAAAGCTACAGTTAGATGATAATAATTTGCATCATTACCTACCTCTTAATTAAGTCAAAATGTCATGCCCACTAAAGCTAATTTCAGAGAAAGCCATGTACACTGAGGAGCTCGCTCATCACAAATAATCTAACAGTCAAAGCAGGAGCACCTTTCGGTTCACGATCAGTTTAGTCATCTTTAGTGGTTGCATAGAACTAAACACAGAGGATTTAAAATGTCAGTATGACATGGACATTTTTTAATTTGCGTGATAAAATTGGTATGGTCGGTTCTGCCACAGCTCGCTTTGAAAATGTGATTACTACATTAGAGAACCATTTGAGAATAATACAAAGTCTGCATTTGCTTAGGCCCGATTTTGGTGGCAAGCAACAAGAGGCGAATGCAGAAAACATCTACCTGCCTGGGGTCATGCAGGAATACACAAAAACATGCTCACACCCCACACACCCTCCCACCTCCTCAACACACCCTGCATTACAGGACAGGCCTGTCTATCTGACGCTAGAACTGCCAGCCTTATTTCAGAAAAAATTCCTCACACCCCTCACAATCATTCCAATAGCCATGCCCACAAGCAAACTGTGGGGCTTTTCCATGGTGACGAGCCCTGTTTACTGGATTGTTGTGCATTTCTTTTTGCACATCTTAAAATTTTATTTTTCAATTACAGTTGACATTTAATACTATTTTATATTAGTTTCAGGTATATAGCATAGTGGTTAGACAATTACATAATTTACCAAGAACTCTGGTACTCACCGGACACCATACATAGTTATTACACTATTTCTGACAGTATTCTCGAAGCTGGTACCTTGTTTTCCTCGTGGCTGCCGATTTGTACTTCTCAATCCCTTCACCTTCCTCACCCAGCTCCCCCACATCTGGTAACCATCAGTCTATTCTCTGTATCTATGAGTTTGCTTCTGTTTCTATTTTGTTCATTTATAACACCCTTTAGATTCCACATATAAATGAAGTCACGTGGTATGTCTTTTTCTGTCTGTAACCCACGTAACATAACAGCCTCTAGGTCTATTCATGTTGTTGCAGATGGTAAGATTTTATTCTTTTTTATGGCTGATTAACAGGCCAACATATATATACAAGTACCACGTCTTCTTTATCCAATGGTTTGTGGATGGGCAGCTAAGTTATTTCCGTATCTTGGCTGTTGTAAACTATGCTGCGATGAACACAGGGGTGCATATATCTTTTCAAATGAATGTTTTGGATGTCCTCTGATATATACTTGAAAGTGGAATTGGTGGGTTATATAGTAATTCTATTTTTAACTTTTTGAGAAACTTTCATACTGTTTTCCATAGTGGCTGCACCAATTTGATTACTTAACCATTAAATGTTTAAACCGTTACTGTTTTTAATAGAGGCTTGTCTTACTTTTAATATGTGGTTAAGTTTTTGAGCATTGTGCCCTAACTTCTTTTTCCCCATAAGCCCTGTGGTTTTTCTTTTGTGTGATTTTTTTTTGCATAGGCCTATCATTTTTAGAAAAACATATGCCATGTTTCAGCAGAAGTGACTATAATTTCAAATAATAAATGGAAGCTGCTCTGCATTGGTATGCGAATTTTAAAATGTAGTTCTGCCATCAGCCTAAAAAGTTTATATTTACATACAATAAAAACCAGGGGCCTTCACAACACTTTAAAAACATAAATTCATTCTTGTGACCTTACTGTACAATGACTTCAACACTCACAATTTCACCGAAGACAGAAGCAAAAGGCCATTGGACTGTCACCAGTAGAGAAAACATTCAAGAACCAAGTATGTGTAGCAAGTCCCGAGGCCAGGCCGTCCATGAAGGAGAGCACCGAGCAAGGCGTCCTGGTTGGTAAACAAGGCCACCCGAGACCCGGCTACGTGTGCCCCGTGTCCAGCTGAAGGCCTGCGTGCTCGCTGCTGTCCCACAGGCCCTTCCTGACATGGGGATGCAGACACTCCCAACTGACCTTCGTAACCTGAGTGAATCTTCTCGGCCAGTGTGAGACAGCAGGGTTCCGATTCTGGCCGGGCAGAGCTGTGCACATGAATCAAATACGGAATAATCCGGAATGGGTAGTAACGCTTCTCTTGCTCTCTGTTTTCACCTCCACTGCAAAGAACAGAAATGGTTCATGGCTGTCCTGATGTGTTCAATCGGCCCAATGGGAAACATGGCTGGAAAATATTTTACTGGTGATTTCTAAAAGAGACATAGCCCAGTCTAAATTATTTAAATGTACTTACTTTAAAGAGAAGGGAAATGTTGGCTTAAATTTTCAATTCCCAGGGCAATTCCAGACCATTGTTACGCAGTGAGGGAGAGGTTTCGTGGAGTAGTGGCTGGGCCCGCTGGGCGTGCCAAGACAGAAGGAGGTGCTGCGTGACTCCCTTCCTGACCCCGCCCCTGGGCTGGCTCCTCTGCTCCAGCCCTGGAGCCCTGGGCTCAGCGTCTTCCATTTGCTGGTGGCCTGACATCTGCCTCTGGCCTGGATTTCTCCCCTGAACGCCATGTTCACATACCAACGCCCAATCAGCACCGCGACATCTTATCGTGAGGGGAGCACTGGCATGAGTGTAACAGTAGTGAACACGGCAGCAAATTCGGTAGAAAAAAATCACTAATAAATCCTATGAGAAATTAACTCCTATTGTAATTGTGGTCCATTTTCCTCTAGTTTAGTTATCCCTGGACCTTCTGAATCTTTGTCGTAAATATACTATCTTGCTTTTTTCAAGTTATTCAAAATTTCAAAGTTAATTTTAGATGCGACCAAACAACAAAAAGCAAACAAACGAACGGGCCCCAGCAACGGCCAGGTGAAAGTGCCCTGGGTTACGAGTGGTCCCTCCGATCTTCTTCCTGGCACTCTACTTTTCTCACGAGGATGTTTCTTCCCCGCAATCGAATTATAAATTCCTTGTGGTAAGAACTAAGTCTTCTCCTTTGTATCCACAACAGAGCTGGCGAACGCAAGAGGGTCGAAGCAAGCACTGAATAAAACAAAGTCCACCGTGTGGCCTCCACGAGCCCCTGCACTTACCGGATCCTGCAGAAAAAGGACTTCACTGGAGCACGGTCATACTGCGACGCTGCTGGGGACAAAGGGAAACTGTCACTCAGGCCCCTGGAGACATTGCAGGGCAGCACTTCCTCAGACAAACAGTAGCACACTGTCACCACACGAAGGAGACAGTGGTTTTTAAGAGAGAGATGCTGATTAAAATGGGCCTCCCCCCACCCTTACTTTGAGATCTGGTCGTGTCCAGGGTTTTCTGTTCTAACTGACAGGAGCCTCCAGGTAGGATGACGAGAGCCCTGGACTCAGTCTCCCCCTTATTACCTCCAACAGACCGCCTGGAACTGCCCAGACTCACTCCTAAAATACGTCCAAGTAATAATTCTTTGACACAGTTATTTTGGTGATAACATTCTACTCCACTGTAAGAGTCTGGATTCCACATGTCTTACATATTGAGAATTTGACTCCTTACAACTTTTAGGCATACGAGGTACAAATTTCTTTCACTGTTTCCTTTCCTGGTACAAACTCCCCTAAGTTGTGTCCCTTGGTGAAATGACAGTGTCATGACTCTCACCATGTGTTGGGAACTGACGTCCAGAAGTTGTTACCTACTGACAAACGTCATTAACCACACTGCTCAATAAATTTATTGATTTGTGAGGTGGTAATTCAGAAATGTTCACCTTTGTCTATTCTAGGATGCATTATAAACTGAACCTTTTCCTAAGTGTTTGCTGACTGTATTTTCTGGGCTTAGAGTTCCCTGTATATATCATCTGGGTAAATTACCTTGTTCACTGAAGCAAAAAGTCCTCAGTGATGGGAACCAATGAAATGTTAAAACCAAGGAGACATTAAAAAATATACACTGAGACTTCTGCCAAGATGGAGGCATAGGTGGAGACACCGTGCTCTCTCCCACAACCAAGTTGAGAGACAACAAAATATTAGCAACAGAAAACATAGCCAGAACACAGAAAATTGAACTTTTCGGAAGTCTGATAACAACAAATTCTTCAGCCTGACCGGTAAGAGGGGCGAAGCCAGCACCTGGCGGAGCTGGGTTGTACAGGAAAACTCGGTCAGATGGACTCAGGCGCACGGATCCCAGGTGTGGGGTTGCAACGGGCGGACCCAGTGAGAGACCCAGTAAGCGACTGGCGGACCCAGCGAGGGTGCAGGGCAGTGGGTTGACCGTGGTCCCACATTTGTGCGCAGATAGACCAGCGAGGGAGTGGGCAGTGAGACGACGGGATCGAGCAGGCACCAGCGGCGAGAGGCAGCAGAGGGGGCCGCCATTTCCCCACTCTGACCCTGCCCCCACATACAGCATCACAACCCAGTGACCTGGGCAGCCCCACCCTGGTAACACCTAAGGCTCTGCTCCTCATAATTAACGGGCACAAACATACCAAAAATGGCTCAAGAAGATCTCAAAGTCCCAGAGCCCATAAATCTAAGTGATGAAGAAATAGAAAAACTTTCAGATGCACAGTTCAAAACACTGGTGATCAGGATGCTCACAGAACTAGTTGATTATAGTCACAAATTAGAGGAACAAATGAAGGCTAAACTAATTGAAATGAAGGGAAATGCACAGGAAACCAATAGTGATGAAGAGGAAACTAGGACTCAAATCAAGGGAGTGAACCAGAAGGAAAAAAATAATGGCCAAACAGGAAAATATGAAGAAACAAGAATTCAAAAAAATGAGGAGAGACTTAGGAACCTCCAGGACATCTTTAAACACTCCAACATCCAAATTATAGGGGTACCAGAAGGGGAAGAGGAAGAGCCACCAGTGGAAAGCTTATTTGAACAAATAATAAAGGAGAACTTCCCCAATCTGGCAAAGGCAACAGACTTCCAGAAAATCCAGGAAGCTCAGAGAGTCCCAAAGAAGTTGGACCCAAGAAGAAACACACCAAGGCACATCATAATTACATTACCCAAGATTAAAATGAAGGAGAGAATCCTAGAAGCAGCAAGAGATAAGGGGAAAGTCACCTACAAAGGAGTTCCCATCAGACTGTCAGCAGATTTCTCAAAAGAGACCCTACAGGCAAGAAGGGGCTGGAAAGAGGTATTCCAAGTCATGAAATCCAAAGACCTACAATCAAGATTACTCTATCCAGCAAAACTTTCATTGAGAATGAAAGGACAGGTAAAGTGCTTCTCAGATAAGGTCAAATTCAAGAAGTTCATCATCATGAAGCCCTTATTATATGAACTGTTAAAGGGACTTACCTAAGAAAAAGAAGATAAAAAAGATGAACAGTGAAAGGACAGCAAACTCACAGTTATTAAGAACCACACCTAAAACAAAAGCAAACTAAGAGAACAGCTAGATCAGGAGCAGAACTATAGAAATGAAGATCACATGGAGGGTTAGCAACAGGGGAGTGGGAGAAGGAGAAGGGGGGAGAAGGTACAGGAAATAAGTAGCATAGATGGTAGGTAGAAAATAGGGGGGAGGGCAAGAATAGTATGGGAAATATAGAATCTAAAGAACTTGAGACACGTGGTCATAAACTAAAGGGGAAAATGGCAGGGGAGGGGGTGTGCAGGGTGGAAGGGAATGAAGGGGGGGAAATAGAACTGTAATGGCATAATTAATAAAATATATTAAAAAATATATACACTGAAGGAGCATAAACAACCAAAGTTCTAAAGAACCAAAACGTGGAATCTGGTCCTGGTCTTCGCACTCTGAAGAAAAGGGTCACAGGAAGAATCAGAAAATGGGCTTTTGAAGGATCAAGGGAAATGTACATGAGTAAAAAAAAAAAAAGCAAAAAAACTCCAGTTTAAAAGTCAAAGGACCAATGATCAAACTATCAAAATTCATCAAACTATGAAGGTTAGAGTCCCAGAATTCTGAAAGCAGAAAACAGTCCCTACAGCATGTCTGTGGCAAGTAAATGAAAGAACCACTCAGTCAGTGAGCCTAAGGAACTAACTGCGCAAAGGTACACTCCAGCCTGCACGCAGGAACTGGAGGAATTAATGCAGGACGAGGACGTTTCACAAACATCCTTCATTTTTTGAGATGGTTTCATGGACAGGAACCCACCTCAGTGCCACTTCCAAATGCCTTGTTAGGTACAGTCCCATTGGAGAGTAACTGTCACAGGCAGCCCTGCTGTTGAAGGGTGGGGGCAGTGGCTAAGAACAGGGGCTCCGGGTCCCCCTCCCCTAGGTGAAATTGGGCTTTGCAGTGTGACCTTGGGTGAGTCACTCGGCTCTGTGCCTGAGGACTATGGTGGCTGACACAGGACAGGGCTCCTGGCTTCAGGGAGCATCAGTTCCTGCAGGCTGCTCTGGCCACTGCCTGTGCACACAGGGGCCCTGAGGCAGGCCATTCCCTGGAGACCCAGGGGTCCTCCCACGCACACACACAGCTGTGGCCTGGACTCCCTGGGGCTGCTGGGCCCCACTGCTCTCTGAGCTACGCTGCAGGCCAAGACTGCTCCTCCCGTGGGGGTCGGCCCTGAACTGGGGACGGGGGCTCCTCTCCCTAAGTCCTGGGCATGGCTAATCCCACTGGACATTTGCTTCTTGGCTGACTTCGACTAACAGTTACTGTCTCTGTCAACTGGGGATGACGAAAGTATCCACACCTCACAAGGTTTCTGGGAAGATAAAACCCACTAACGCATTAAGAAGAGTCCCCATTCAATAGGGAGTAGCAGTCAGGATGCTCCTTATGCTGTAAGATGCTCCCAGTCTCCAAAGAGCTTTCCAACCCTTCACTTTCTTGACCTTTACAGCAACTGTGTATTAGTAGGCTCGTCAGAAACTATTATTTTTTACTGAGAAGCTAAATGGCCTTCAAGGTTCATGAAGGGACAGAACTCAATTAAAAACTCAGATTTCCAGCCCTGGCCAAGTGGCTCAGTTGGCTGGAGCATTGTCCCCCATAAACCAAAAGGTTGAGAGTTTGATTCCCAATCAGGGCACATAACTTGGGTTGAGGGTTTGATACCCAGCCGAGGAGCCTACAAGAGGCAACCAATCGATGTTTCTCTCCCTCGCTTCTCATCTTTCTAAAAGCAATGAAAAAATGTCCTTAGGTGAGGATAAAAAAAATTAAAACTCAGATCTTCAGATTCTTAGCTTAATATTCTTTGCATGTAGAAAACAGTGCAACTCTATGTACGCAAACTTCCTTACGCTATTTTTACGTTACAGCAGGCACCTAATTCAACTGCCTTCATTCAGAGTCTCAAAGCACAGAGAGCCAACCATGTGACCTCAAACACAGATGTGGGCCCTTCTCACTTCCACACCTCAGCGGCAACATGTGACTTCTCGTTTTTTAAGTGAATTCTAAAGAAACAATAGTTGGCTCCTTCTGAGAGGTCTGGACCACAACTGAAGTTGAAACATACTCTAATGCAGGGCCAAAAGCCGACAACAGCTGAGGTTACAGCTTTCTATGCCCTCGTTATGTTCTCTGAGCTCAAAACAAGGGAGAGAAAGGAGGAGGAACAGGGCCCAGCCCCAGAATGCCACCGAGTTTGAAGGCTATGCTCAGGGAGAGTGAATTCTTGAGGATTATGAGGTAGAGTACAAGGTGAGGAGCAAACGAAATGAGCATCAGATCTTAATGAAGTAAATGTTTAGGTTTACAAGACAACAATTTCAGGTCAGATCATGCTTTACAAGGAGAAGTAGATCGGAATAAGTAATTAGCAAAGAGAAAAAGGCTGGGAGGGTGAGACAGCGACTCTACAGGCAAAGTGGAAGGAGAACACTGGGGAAGGTGAGTGAACCTGCAAACTCTGTCACGTTTGCTCTGCTCCCACTGTATCCAGAACAGCTCCTGGCCCACAGTGATTGTGGGGTAAATGTTTATGGAATGACTTAATGATTGATAAATGTGGAGAAACAAACACGGATGATGAAAGGTTGAATGTAGGTGTTTAGGAAAAAGGAAGAGGAACGAAATCAATGTTTCTGAGTGATGATGGCAACAGGAGGGGGCAGCCATAGGAAGCAAGGGGATAGGTCTGTGTTCTGAAACTCCTGCACGAGGTGCATAAAAGATGGGACAACGATCTACAACTCGGAAAAAAAAACTATACTCTTCACTGGAACAGGCACTGGATTACAAAATCAGAACGGATACAGAGCTTTGGATTCGTAAGATGAGAAAGTTCTGGAGATCTGTTGCACAGCAACGTGAATGTGCTTAGTACCACTGAGCTATACACTTAAAAACGGTTAAGATAATCAATTCTGTTAACCAGTTTTTTTACAACAGTAAAAAATTACTGCCCTGGCTGGTGTAGCTCAGTGGATTGAGCGCAGGCCTGCGAACTAGACAATCGCAGTTCGATTCCCAGTCAGGGCACATGCCTGGGTTGCAGGCTGGTCCCCTGCAGGCCAGTTCCCAGGAGGGGACACATGAAAGGCAACCATACATTGATGTTTCACTCCTTCTCTTTCCCTCTTAAGATAAATAAATAAAATCTTAAAAAAAATTACTGTATTTTGCCATGTATAACATGCACCTTTCGTCCAAACATTTTAGAGGAAAATAAGGATGTGCATTATATGTGGGTATACTGATGACATACCATGGGTATAATAAGAAATATAATAATCCCATGTATAATGCGCACAAAAACATGGACGTGCATTACACACAGCAAAATACAGTAATGAATATTTTTTTTAAATTAGAGAAAAGGATTAGCATCAAAGAGAAGATGATCTATACTAAGTTCCTAAGAGACATTTTACAAAAAACATGAACTAATAAAGGGCGACATAAAAAAGAAATGATGACTTGTTTGAAGATCATGCAGGACTGACTGTCACAAAGAAAACGGAGCCCAGGTCAGGAAAAGAAGCATGCCCAGGTCAGAAAAGCAGTAGTTCACAAGGAAAAGTAACGAGATTTGTGAACTTCTAGGGACAAGAAAAAGTGGAAAAGAAAGCTGACCATCAGGTGTTTCTCTCCAAGGCCAAGCTAAGACATTACAAAGTCAATATAAGAGAAAAAACATTTAATTTTATTAACTTAAACAGAATCTCATAGCAACTCACCTGCTTGCTACATAGTATGCCAGTACTCAAACTATATTTACAACATGTAATCTATGAAACTAACTTGACTACACAAAAGCAAATTTATTGAATCTCTTTTAGAAGCATTTAAAATGTTTTCACCAATTCTACTTTTTTTAAAAAGAAGAAAAGAAGCCCCAGTCTGCCTATTCCAAAAAATGCATACATTTCTGTGTTATTACTAGAAGGATAAAACTGATCTTCATGAGGCAAGGCAGACAGCTGAATGTGGGTCCCATTACCTGTTTCGGTCCAGTTGTGCCAGAAGGGAAGCTGAGTGTGTGCAGTGTGTGTGTAGAACATCCGCACATCTTCAGGAGCAAGCAGTTCAACAAAATGAGAGGAGTCCAGGGAATCTTTCTTACAATTCAGGATCAAAGCTGCTTGCTCGGAAATGTGCACTAACCTTCCAGACAGAAATGAAAAAACTGCCACAAAGGTATCCTACGAAAAACATTCAAAGTAAATGCAAATATTGAGATACCAGCAATATCCCCTAAAAGGTACAAATGTCTTCTAGATTTCAGTGATCAATAGCTTAGAACGAACACACACACACACACACACACACACCTGGCATGGGCAATACCGTGACACCTGTGTGGCGCTTTTCGAAGGCTAGATTTCTAGGTCAAAAAACCACAGCAGCTCATTCCACACTGACTAATAAGTGCGTAGACCATACAGATACACAGACTTCTTCTTTTTTTCTTTTTTTTTTTAAGGAGAGGCAGAGAAACATCAACATGTGGTTGCCTCTCGCATACCCCCTGCTGCGGACCTGGTCTGCAACCCAGGCATGTGCCCCGACCAGGAATGGAACTGGTGACCCTTTGGTTCGCAGGCCGGCACTCAAACCACTGAGTCACACTGGCCAGGACTAATACACAGACTTCTGAATCCTTCTCCTTTGCAAACTGTGCTTTACACCTGGAGGGAATGCCTTCTCTTCACCAAAGTGTATTCTAGGCTTGAAGACCAAGCTCAAGAGTCACCCTGAAGACGTTGTCTTTAACCAACATCATTACGTAAGCATTATTTCTCGAGCCCTGGCCAGCGTGGCTCAGTTGGTTGGACCATTGTCCCATAACCAAAAGGTTTCGGGTTCAATGCCTTGTCCAGGCATGTATGATCCCTGGTTCAGGCACCTATAGAGAGGAACAATCGATGCTTCTCTCTCACTGACGTTTCTCTCTCTCTCTTTCTAAAAGTAATGAAAAAATGTCCTTCAGTGAGGATGAGGAAAAAAAGGATTATTTTTTGAATTTGTTCCATCAGACGTAAATGTAACTTAGTTATTACAATCACCCACTGGGTATACCTGCTAGCATTGGCCCATGTTTTCCTCTCCAGCTTTACTCCCAGACCACCAAGGGGATATGTTTTCTTACATTTTTTGCCCTCAAATCTCAATAGCACCTACTACCTGACTATGAACACACTGGTTAGCAATGTAAGCACTGCTGTAATATTAGGAATAGCTCACGTTCCAATATTATAAAATATTTAAGTTACAATTATGTCGCGAGCTAAACATAAAGTTATCTAGCTAAACATGATGTGAAATTACTTTCAACATGAAGAGATTCAAAAAAGATATACCAAATGTCTCTTCCAAAATTTTGAAAAAATGACAGCATCTCAACTCACCTGTTCTACCAAATCCAGTTGTTACAACTTGAAGTAGTAGGTATGGGAACTAAAAATGATGTCAGTAGAAATTAGCAATTGGGAGATTAGAATAAGATACAGGAATCACTCTGCAGAGCTCTCTCTGTCATTAGTCTGAGAGAACGCAGGGATGCTTGGGAGACTGCGGCACCTCGGAACCAGAGCAAAGCAAACGCCTGCAGCCCTGTCCCCTGGCCAGGGCAGGGGACACTGCACCGTGCCTCTCTAGCAATTTTCTTCTCTTGTCTACCTCACACTGTGGCTACTGACACTCTCCATTACTGTTTTTAACAACCTGCAGGCAGACAGGTTTTTACCAGATAAGGCTGTTAGGAAAAATCACCCAGGTTCACAGGCAAAATTCCGAGTTCTTACTGTGTTTTTAGAAGTGTGCTCTGAAGCAATGGTGGCCAGCTCCTCAAGACTGTACATGGTCACATCTGTTCGAGGTGTTCCTTTTTGACTGAGAATCTGGAAAAACTCACTGTTTGCTAAAAAACACAGGAAAATAAACAGGGAGTCCGTGAAAAGAGTATCTTTAGGAAATCATTTTTACAACTAGGTAAGCTGGCTGCTTTTTCATGTGAGGACACAGCTCAGTGTCATCCTTGGAACCAGATCACCCTTCCTTCACCTCAAGCACTGATAATTGTGCAAACTCAAGACTTTGAATTTTTGGAATCCTGCATGTTCGAGATCACAAGGAAGAGAACATTTCAGGTACTAGAGAGGGGACCGAAACCCCACACCCCACATACACACGGGGCACTGCAATGGCAGCAACATCACTCCAGCACTTGGGACCTATGTGTGACATGCGAGGCCACAGAAGTCTGCACTCGAGACTGTGCACCTTGTGAAATCCCTTGAGAAGCAAAGTCAGAGATAAAAAGGAAAAAGTGCGTACAACTGTTCATTTTTTAACTTGCTAAGTTCCTGATACATCACAAGTACATTTTAAAAGCATGTATATGGCCGGGAAAGGTAAAATGTTTTCAGTCAAATGAATTTCCCCCCTAATATTTATAGCAGACAATGCTCCTTTTAAAAGTGAGTCTTCAAAAAGTGCTTATACTGAACTCTTCTCTCCTGCCACAGCTCACTAACATACTGCACCACCACTGAACTCTACCCAGACCAGGTCCTCCTGGTGCCCCTAGTGTGAGAAAACCCCACTGACAACGCATCTGGCCTGGCTGATGTTTCTGAGCAGTGGTGGCCTTGCAGGGCTGTGTTCTCTCCCCCTCCTGTTTACCTTGGACGCTCTGCACACAGCGAAGGGCATAGTTGAGGGCATCGAGAGTGCTCGGTTTATTGTGTCTCTCTGATGGGAAGTATTTTTTCATTTCCTGGACAACCATTATCAGCTCTTCAGAAACTCTGTTGCGATCTTGCTGTTCACTGTGAGATAAAAATAAATTCACACTTTCAATTACTATAGGCCACCGACTTTTATTGAACAGGGTATTATGTGCCAAGCAACCTTCTAAGTGCTTAACATGTATCAGCTCTTGTAGCTTTATCTCTTTGTCACAAGTTTATCTCTTTGTTATAGGCCAGGGAATCCCAGCCAAAGAAACTGGTCACCATTGAACATTTTCTACTCTCATTCCCACTTCAGTCTCAATTAAGCTAAACTCAGCTTAACTACTACTGTACAGTAGTAGTTAAAACTACTTTTTATCTACTCTTTGGGAATTTTCTTCAGTTTCCCAGAGCATTTCATTCTAAGCTCCCAGAGTTTCCCCCTAAACTTCCTCCTAGTCTTACCTAAAACAAACAAAAGAAATTGCCTTAAACTCTCCTTTCCCTTTTAGTACTCGGGCCAAGAACAACAAACCCGGCTATAAAGTATCACCTGTTGCTGCTCTCCAGGTATTTGCTCTTAAGTTGGTATTTCTGGCTCCACATCTCATCAGCTTCTTTCCCCAGGGCCCCAGTGCCGCCGGCCTGTGGTCCTTGAAGTTCATTAGGTTCAACCCCCGGGGAGTCCGATTTACCGCTGGACATTTTTAGATCTTCACAAGGGTCCATGGCAGTTCCAATCTGTTGCCTGCTTCTTTCTTATTTTGCAACTGGCGACAGCCATTTACTCCTCATTCTGATCCATGCCATTGCATGAGAGATAATAATCAGTCATCAGAAACCGGCAATTACTGATCTCTGGTCATCTGGAGGCACTTTCCTCTCTAGTGTTTCCATACAATTTTGGAGGTCTTCACTCCCGGGAAGTCCAGCCTTGGGGGGTGGGGTGAGGCAAAGGTAACAAATGTCGAGTGAAACGGACAATTTGAATTTGATGCGAGAAACCAGGCTGTGGCTGGCCAGCTGGGCAGCCCCGGGAAGGACCCTCAGCCCCAGCGGTCACAAAACCTGACTCGGGCTCGCCCGCCCGCAGCTCTGCAAAGTCGGAGTGCACCCAGAAATGGAAGCTGGCGCAGGGGGCAACTTTAAGCACAAAGTTCCGAGGACCCCAGGTTCCCGACCCGGCGCTCCCGGCGCTCCCGGCGCTCACGGCAAGCTCTCGTTAACCTGCGACCGGCGAGCCCAGAAGCCTCTCTGCTGGACCCCAGCACTCACCCTCCGTCACCGCCGCCTCCGCTGCCTCCGTCGCCGCCCTTCGGCCCCTCACACAGTGGCTCGCCCAGCCCCGCGGGGCCCGAGTCTCGAGGCCCGCCGCGTGCAGCGCGGCCACGGGCGCCGCGCCCCCCGCGTGCCACGTGACTGGGCTCCGCCCCCTAACCCCACGATTGGCCACCGCCTCCGGCACTGAGGGCTCCTATTGGCCCGTGGGCGGGGCCCGGGCTGGGGCGTCCGGGTTACATAATCGAAAGCGAGTGGGCGGGGCGAAGGTCCCACTGCTCGTTACATAACACGCAGAGGGCGGAAGGCTGGCCAATCCCAACAGACTGACTTGTAAGCAGGAGGTGGAGGCTCCCTGGACGAGGCTTGAGCCCCGGCTGAGCAAGTCGAGTGCCCGGCCCCCTTCACGGCCGGAGGGGAGGGAGGGCCCCCCCCCCCGAACTTGCGCGTCCGTGATAGGGCGCTCCCGCGGTCAGTCAAGGGGTGGGACCCTAGTAGTGGGGGAAGGCGGGACCGCCGGGGTCTTCCCGTGAGCGGCGGCGGGCGGGCGGTGAGGAGCAGCGGTCCCAGGTTTGGGGGGAGCTGTGCTGAGGAAGCGGGCGCTGGTGCCTGGGGTGCCCCCTGGGGCAGTCTGAGGAAGGCGCTGGACTTTCGAGCGCTTTCTCTGTGTCTTCTCCGGCTGCCGTAGTTTGAGCCTTCCTTTCCCTCGCTCTCCGTCCCGCCAGCTCTCCGCGAGGGGCTTGGAGGAGCCCGGCGGCAGAGCAGCCCTGGAAGAATCAAACCCGATTTTTCAGGACGGAATTCTGACGGTGGGACGTAAACACGTCCCTGGTCTAACAGCTGGAGGAAGACACGTGTATGTAAAAGGGAGGCGCAGAGAAGCCCTTTCAGGAACGCCGGTCTCACAGTCGGACGCTCCCTTTAGACCGTTCCCGACTCCTCCGAAACCGGAGGCGCGGGGCAGGCTCCACCCTCTCCAGTGTCCGTGCGTCAGAAATCCTCACTATTTGTGGGCGGAATGAAAGGAACTGCGTGCGAAGTGAGGGGTGCCGTCTGTTGCTCCCCTGTATGGGGTAAACCCCCTTCTTTTCCCAGAGGGTGGCCGATCTCACTGGCCTCCGAAGCTCCTTCGTCAGGCTGCGTTTATTCAACGAGTGTTTAGAGTGCGTATCCGGGAGGGCTGATGGTGGTCCCTGGGGACAGTGGGGACAAAAGTCCCTGCCACTCGGGGACTCTCCATTTTATTGGCATACGACATACGAACAACTTCGTGGAGTTCAGAAGGCTTCTCTGAGAGGGTGAAATGGAAACCTGAATGAGAAGGGGGTGGGGCTCGAAGCAGAGGCTTGTGTAGAAGCAGGCAGTGTACTTGGCCTGGAGAATGGCGAGAGGGTCGGGGAGTCAGGAAGGGCCAGATTGGGGGAGGGGGCTCTGTCACTATGGAAACTGGAATTCTTTTTTAATGGTGGTAGAAAGGAGGGTTTTAAGAAAGGGATTTGTATGGGTCAGGCTGCTGCACAGGAAACAGTTCAAAGAAGCTGATTACAAGGAGACAAGACTTGCCAGTGGGTTGAATGTACGCTCCGGGAGAACAATCAGGGATGACTCCCCGGCCTGGTTTAAGCCGAGCTGCCTGTGATGGAACACACACCGAGATGGGCAAGTCTGGGTGGTCTGAGCTGATGGAGGCCCGGGAGCTTCTCTTCAAGTCCCGTGTGAGATGGGCACTGCACTTCCACGGGCCCTGTGGGCCGATGGTTTCCCAGCCATTCTCTGCGATGCACACTGTCAACGACAGGAAGAGCAGCCGAGGCAGGGGCGTGCTCAGTTCTGTCTGGGGCGTGGAGTTTGAGAGGCCTATGTCTTGCAAGCCAGTAGACTATGAATGGAGGTACCACAGGAAAGACCAGCTGGCTGAGGACCCAGGCCCAAGGACCCCTGGTATCTAAGGGAGGGGCGGAGTAGTGAAGCTCACATGTAGATTTTCCTTCTAAATCTTGAAAATGACACCAAGAGTTCATACTGACGTTTCTGAAGAAAGGCCCTGAACAACAGGCATAGTTCTGCAGCTCTTTCCCAGCACACAGCAGTATGTCAGACAAGGCAAGCAGTGGACACTTGTCCAGGGCAACGGGGAAAGTCCACTTCTCTCCCAATAGGGTTTTATAGAAACTGACATTTTATTGTGAAGAGAAGCAAAAGTCTACTTCCACCCATACTGTACAGTTCCCTAGGGTTCCAGAATAAGTATTTTTGAAGGGAAGATACACGGAATCATGAGAGCCGTGTGTTTGGAGATGTGCCTCACCACCACTTAAAGTCCCCATGTCCCATGCAGGCAGCTGTTGGACCACATACAAGGCCAGTTCTGCGCATCGCTTTTGAAAGACCATGTAGTTATAAACTCAAAAGTCAAATGTTGGAAGGCTTCGGTATTCATAAGAAAGCCAGTTCCTCAGTCATCTACATGAAAGCACTTTTCACAACGGGGTGGTCTGCTTTGCTTCTGTTGACTAGCTATGGGGACAGGCTGGGTGATAGGGAGTTTGAGTACTTAGGGAGGGGATGGGTGAGAAAGGATCAGAGTGGAGTTAAGGGTTTCTAAGGGAGAGGTGGGGGAACAACAAAACATGCTATTTTTTAGGACTTGGATGAGGTGCAGCTATTCCTCTACAAGCAACACAGGTACCAGGGTAATGTTTATAAACACTTTATTCAGCTCATTACAGTGGGCAAGTAACCAGCTAAATGCAGATACAAGCAAGGTACTCCTGGGTTAATGCGGGAGCTGGTGAGTTACATGGGACTGAGCATCAAGGCCAAGGAGAGAGCACCAGAGTTTCAGCTTCAGACCCCACCACAGACCCCAAGCCGAGATGGCGCTACTGCCCTGACACTGACAGCTGCTTTCCTCTCCCAGTGGGGTGTGTGTTCACCATTTCATTTCAGTGCTGACGGGAACAGATACCAAAGAACTGGAACCCATATCCTGGTGTGCCTCAACCACTGTTGCTTTGTAAGTCACATACTAGCATGCAAGAAACAATTTTAGAATATTCCAGTACAATGGGCCACAGAGTGGTAAGCCTCTTTCTCCCTCAGTGCCTCCTTGCCTGTGTCATTCATATCTAATTCCTATCCTTAGGCCATATAGCCTGATGTCGAAAGTCTCCACAAAAGTCTCTTAGATGAAAACAGCTATTTGCAAAGCAGCATCTTGTGCAACAGCCCAGTGCATCGAAGAAGGTCTCCGGTCAGCTATTTCTGTGAAAAGTCAGCCAACCCTGACAAATACTAATTGAAAGCATAATATAGGAGACATTTAGAAAGTGGAATATGAATAAAAATAGAAACAAACTCCAAAAAGCTATAGTCTATGAGGACTGGGCCAAGTAATGACTAGTTCACAACTGTCTTACTTGAAGGCTACAAAATTGTTGCTCACATAATTCTTAGAAACATGCTGGAGTCCATAGCTGGTGTTTGTTCTGCAATCTGTCTCCAGGCATGAGATGGAGAGAGTCTAGTTTGAGCCTTCTCTAAACCCAGGGAAATGCTGTCTAGGAAGGGGAGCTGTACCACATATAGTATTTCACAGGCAAGAAAGGCCTGTCAGGATATAGAAGCTCCACAAATAATAATACAACTTCTCAAGGGCACCTTGAATTCCATCTGTCACTTTTCAGATTTATCTGTCAGGTCAGGAACAGACTTAAGGGCATTTTACTGGGATTTAACTTTTTGGCAAAATAGAAACTTTGGTCGTAGCCATAGTCCTATAAAAATGTTTTAAAGAGGTTATTTCTGATTAAAATATTTTTAGCAAATGATACAAAACAATAACAAGAAAGTAAACATCTTTGTGTCTAATGTAAGAGCAAAAATTCTTTACCAGCATCTTATTTTAAATACAGCGCAAAGGTCAGTAGTGCTCATAAACAGTAGAAGGCGCTCATAGGGCAGCGGGAAGGTAGCGGAATAAGGCACAGCCTGTCATAGTCACAGACTTGAGTCAGACAGTAGTGTTTTCTCTGGAAGGCACAAACTGAAAATCTGATAACCCAAAGGTTTAAAATGTGGTTCTGAAGATAAGATCATATGATGAGGATAGCTCACTTAGCAAAAATTCCCCTGACTAGAATTAATGGCAATTAATCAGACAATGTTACTTCTAAGTTATAACACTCTGGAGTTTATGAAGTCCTTGTCATCAGCCCATATGTAAATTTGTAAAGGCACTGTGCAAAATGTGGGCTGGAGTGAGTGTACTTCTAGTTTGGAATTATGTTTTTTAAAGGCACATTTTCTAAAAATCAAACGTTACATTAACAGAAAACAAACATTTTAGATATTACAGTACGTAAGCCTGATGATAAAGAAAGTTCTAAGTCAAAAATCCTGAAGAGGTTTCTGGAACAGAAGGCTGGAGCTTCACTGGTTCTTCATGGAGAAACACTCAACACTAATAAGCAGGGAAATGCAAAAAAAAAAAAAATCAAGGAAAACAGTTTAGTCTTTTAGAGCAAATCCAGAATGAACACTGAATGCTAGTCTATATGCGAACAGAAATGTGATTTGGCCTATTTTCTCCTGGGGGCTTGTCTCGATTTTGTGGAGCGCTAGACGGGATGATCCAAAGACGGGGCTGGAGAAGACGCTGTCCTGGGCTGAGATGGCAGTGGGTTGTCCCAGTGCTGTATATGGCCCCATTAGTACTCACAGCGACGACGGGGTGTGTATTTATTTATATAACTATCATCATCATCACATGCCAGGCACCATCCTAAGCACTTTTTATATATTCACCAGCTTTGCCCTCATACCAAACATACGAGGTAGGTCCTCTTATTACCCCATTTTAAAATGAGGAAACTAGAGTGCAGAGTTATGAACCTATTTCCCAAAGCCACACAGCTGGATGGTGGTGGGGCCAGGGTGGACACAGGTGGCTGTGCGTTCAGTCGCTAGACTGCACAGTCACAAAGGGAAGAGCTGATGAAAATATAATCAGAAAGTTTTCTCTAATTTCAAAGCATTAATGTTTACATCAAAAACCAGGCTTTAATCGTACAATCATATTTAAAATACTGACTAAAGAAAAAGATCTTTGCAAACCCATGTAAATTTCAGTGGGTTTAGAGCAGGAGCACTCACCGATGATGATGATGATGATGATGACCACGATGCTAATGCCTATGGCCCACATCTGTAATGAAACACACGTCCCAGTCACATGTCAGAAAGAGATTAACGTGCTTCCTGATGAGTAGCAGACGGTATCATCCTAGTCAATGAAGGAGAACTTCAGGGGCGCTGCAATCGGAAATAATCCATAGTTTTTAAAGCCTAACTATAATGTTCTCCATTAGGACCTGAAGCTTCCTTACATGCTTTTCACAAGCTGTTCAAATGATCTGTGGGCCCTAAGCAGGCACGTTTGTGTACACAAGGTCTCCACATTGGGCGGGGCTCCTAACACATTTGTGTTGTGTTGGAAAGTGTCACTTCTACACCAGGATGGGGCAGGACACACTGGGGACCAAGGGCAGCAAATTTCTTTGGTAGTCATATAATAATCTGCTTTGGTCCAGGCTCCCGGGTGGCTGCTTCCTGCTCTTCTGGAGCGAACTGTAGCTTGAGAAGCTCCTCCCTTGGGTGCTGGAGCCACTGACACAAGCACACACAATCTGACTGCCAATTCCACCCTCTCCTGTCAGTCTGTGTTCAAGGTTCCCCTGGGGCAGACAGTTGGAAGGGGCGTATGTCTGAGATTGATTTTGGACACTCCCGCATGCTTTGTAAGGCTGGCCACAGCATGTGGTGATTCCCCAGTTGTGGGGCGAGAGCAAGGGCATTCGGTCAGTGATCCGGATTCAGCGTCAGTCCAAATTCTATGTGTGGGAAGTCCAACTTGCCTGCAGGGCTGATGCAAGTCCAACATTTAAGGCCTCTGTCACCCCTTGGGGATGTGGAGGGAGATTCACTGTAAAGACGGTTGAGGAGAATTACCTTGCAGTTCTTCCACCAGTATTTTCTCTTCAACTTGGCAGCACTGGTTTCGAACTGGGAAGCTCCCGCCTGCAGTGCATCTGCGCGGTCATCTAGCTCAGAGAGCTTCTGGTCTCTCTCCAGCACCTTGTCCACATTGACTCTCATGATGTCCACCACCTGAAAGAAGATGGTCACATCAAGTTTCACATGAAGAAATGGAGCAACCACAGGTCAGCACTTTATTATTTTAAGTTTAATTTTCATTAAAAGGGGGGCTGGGCTTCACCATTTCATCAAATAAACTCTCAGTAAACTAGGACTAGAAGGGAACCTCCTTAACATAATAAAGGGCATTTATTTAAAAAAAACCCCACAACTAACATCCACACTCCATGGTCAAAGACAGAAAGCTGAGATCAGGGAACAAGACAAGGATGCCCGCTGTCATGTTGCGCTTCCATAGTGTACTGGACGTTCTGGCCAGAGCAATTGGGCAGGAAAAAGAAAGAAAAGGTGTCCAAATTAGAAAAAGTAAAATGATCCATATTTGCAGACATTCCATATGTACAAAATCCCAAAGAATCTGCAATATAAACTTAATAGGCTTAATAAACAAATTCAGTAAAGTTTCAGGGTACAAGATCAGCAACTATAAATACAGTGTTTCCATATACTGAAATTAATAAAACAATTCCATGTACAATAGAATCCCAGAGATAAACTGAACCAAGGAGGCAAAAACTGGGTCATGGAAAACTACAAAGCAGCACTGATGATGGAATGGAAATGAGAGTCCAGAAATCAACTCAAACACCTATGGCCAACTGATTTTCGACAGGGTGCCAAGATCAGTCAATGGGGAAGAAGTTTCTTCAACTAATGGGCTGGTACAACAGGAGAGCCACATACAAAAGAATGAAGTAGGATCAGCACCTCATCCCATATACAAAAATAACTCTTAGGTCATTGACTTAAATGGATCAATGACCTAAGTGTAAGAGCTAAAATTATAAACTTCTTAGAAGAGTAAACCTTTATAACTTTGGATTTGGCCATGGATTTGAAATAAAAAATAAAAGCAACAAAAAAATAGACAAATGGGACTTTGTCAAAATTAAAACCTTTTGTGCATCAAAGGGCATTACTGAGGATGTGAAAAGACAATCCACAGAATGGAATATTTGCAAATCATATATCTGAAAAGGAGTTAATATCCAGAATATTTAAAAAACTCCTTTTTATGACACTCTTTTTTCTGTTTGAAGACCTTTGTGGCAGGCAATAGGAACCTCAGCTTCAGGCAGTGGCTTAGTGGACGCAATATAGAAGTGACTTTGCTCACCCAAAGAATTTACAGACTCAAATTTATTGGGAAAGGAATGGAAGTGGGAGGGGGTAAAGAAATGGTGGGTGGGGGTGGGGATTAACCGAGGAGACGGCTGCACATCGCTGGCAGCACTGGATCACCAAACCAGGGCCCGTGGGACACAGAGCTTCCCCGCAAAGTCTAAATTACCTGCTGTCATTAGGCAGCTTTCATACCTGCTGTCATCAGGCAGCCTTCATTTCCACACTGACTGACATTGGAATTACATTCAAGAACTGAGCCAAATCCAGTGACCTGATACCATGTCAACGCCCCCTGGTGGCTTCAGTTCCAGAATCTTCTGGTTCTCCAGTGAACAGATTGGCCTGGTTCAATGGGTATGTGTTTTCTTTGCCTGCTCCGGAATGATCACAAGTGGGTAGCTAGTACCATAAGGTATTTGTGGTCGTAAGAAATAAAAGAACTCAGTACTAATTCTCAGAATGTGACTATTTTCTAATATCTCAATTAAATTTGATTATTGAAAAACTACATACGATTACACCTACTTCGTTTCTATTAAAATTTTTATCACGTTTGCATATTTAATAGGTTATTATTAGCTAAAATCCAGAATGACTATATAAAGAACTCTTACTACTCAACAACAAAAGAGAAACTACCCAACTAAAAACTGCTCAGTGGCCCTGGCTGGGTGGTGCGGTTGGCTGGAGCGTCGTCCCAGTCACGAGAAAAGGTCGTGGGCTTGAGTCCCATTCAGGGCGCGTACAGGAGGCAACCAATCGGTGTTTCTCTCTCTTTCTTTCTCTCCCTCCTTCCTCTCTCTCTAAACATCAATGAACGTATCCTCAGGTAAGGATTTTTTTTTTTAAAAAGGGCAACAGACTTGAATAGGCATTTCAACAAAGAGTGTACAACTGGAAGATGTTTAGCAGATGGCCAATAAGCACAGGAAAAGATACTCAACATCACTGGTCATTAAAGAAATGCAAATCAGAACAATATGAGATGTTATTTTATACTTACTAGGATGGCTATAACCAAATAAAAATAAAAAAGGAAAATAACGAGTGTCGGTGAGGATGTGGAGAAACAGGAACCCGTGGCACTGCCGGTGTGAATGTGACGCGGTGCGGCCACCGTGGGAACGTATGCCAGCTCCTCAAAACGGTAGACGAGTGCTACTCCTAGCTACGTACCCAAGAGAAATGAAAACATGTACACGCAGAAACTTGTATGCAAATGTTTATAGCAGCGTTGCTGGTATAGCTAAAAGGCCAAAACAACTGAAAAATCATCTAATGGACAAACAAGGTGTACACAAGCACTGGAATATCATTCAGCCTGAAAAAGGAAGGAGCACTGATATTTGTTACAACTTGGATAGACATTGAAAATATTTTACCAAGTGAAAGGCAAACACAGAAGGCCACGCAGTATATGATCCCTTTTTTATGGTATATCTAGAATAAGAAAATCTATAGAAACAGAGAGCCAATGAGAAGTTAGCAGGGAAGGGGAGGTGGAAGAACAGGGGTAAGTACTAGACATGTACAGTGTGTTCTGTGGTGCGGAGAAAACTGTGAAACCAGACAGAGCTGATGGTTGAACAACACTGTGAATATACCCACATGCCACTGGACGGTGCACCTGAAAATGGCTCAGTATGTTATGTGAATTTCAGCTCGATTAAAAAAAACACAAAAAACCCAACTCCCTTTGGTTAAGAAAAAGGACTCAATTTGATTTTGTAAGTAAACAAAAATCTCATGCAGGATGGACTTAGGATGGGTTTTTAGCATGAAAATATAAAACTTTCAGACATTCATAAATAGCCATCACACCAAAATATTACCGTATGTTTAACCATCCACTATTAAACGCAGCTTAACATCAGTTTTATTTTTGTTTTTTAATTAAATTTATTGGGGTGATTTGGTTAATAAGATTATATAGGCTTCAGGTGTACATCTCTATGACACATGATCTGTATATTGCATTGTGTGCCCACCACCCAAAGTCAGATCATCTTCTGTCACCATACACTGGGTTGGCTGAAAAGTTCATTTAATTTTTTCTGTGCAGTGGCTCTACTGGTGCTTAGCTGTCTTCAACTTCATTTGAAACAATTTGGTTAGAATGCACTGTGACAGCTGTCATAGCAGCATGCATTAAAAAAAATCAAAATTGGTGAATTTTTGTGCAGCTATTTGAATACTGAAGATAGAAAAAGATATGCAACATTTTTGGCATATTATGCTTTATTATTTCAAGAAAGGTAAAAACACAACTGAAATACAAGAAAAGATTTGTGCAGTGTTTGGAAAAGGTGCTGTGACTGATAAAATGTGTCAAAAGTGGTTTGTGAAGTTTCTTGGTCCTATTGACACTTTAGCCAAACAATTCTTCGCTGTGGGGCTGTCTGATGCACTGGAAGATGTTTAGCAGCAGCCCCGGCCTCCATTCACTAGAAGCCAATAGTGGGAGACAGCCGACACACTCAAAACACCCCAATCAATAAAGTTATTGGTGAAACTGAAAAAATGCACCTTTATTTTATTTAAAAAAAATGGACTTTTTGGCCAACTAAATATTTGGCCCCCAGTTTAACCTAAGTTTAACGCTGCTTTTTAAGGCAGCTCAAGGCAGAAAGACCAAGACAGCCTTGCTGGCAGTGATGGCTTTTAGGAATGTGGAAAGGCTAGTTTGAATTTCTCAACCATTGTGAGTCTGCATATGTAGGGCAGAACACAGACACTGTGAACGTCCTCAAACTCAAGAACTCTACAGATACAGATCCGCTGGGCTATAGCAGCTTGCCAGCACCTGCGCTCCATGTCAGTGGGCAACAGCGGGAGCGCACTCTGCAGAGGCCCGCTCAGGCAGAAAGGCCAGGCTACTGGCAGGGTACGTGATGAAGAATCTGTCTGGTCAGAGCACTGGTCCTGGCTTGAACAGTCGATAGACCTAATTCTGAAAACTCTATTATCCTACTTTATAAAGTGGTTCTCTTTTTTCCAAAATTTTTCTTACTGTGGCAAAATGTACATTATAAAGTAGTTCTTGAAGGAATGTTCTCAGGGAAGGGGTATTTGTGTATCAGGTGTGTGATGTGGTCACAGAAAAATACACATGAAATCAGGAAAATCTGTCTTCTGCTTAGATGATGGCTTCCAGAATAGTGGGGGACAAAATTTTGTTACTTTCTGATACAGTAAAATTTACTTCACGTTCACACTTTTATCACATTTTTTCTAAACAACTATTTCCACCGTGTTCTCCTGCTAATTTAAAATTAATCTTTTCAACATTTCAGAGCAATACCTCATCCACTTGATTCTGAGTCTGCTGAAGTCTCCGATTACTGCCAGAGGCGGCGCTTGAACTGCTGGGCGCACCTGCCGACCTGAAAGGCAGGACCATTAGTAAATCATCACTGCAGAGACACTGTGGTAAGTATGAAGACTTTGGGTGTTTCACAAGTAAAGCAGAAAAGAAATCCTTCCTGTAGCAATGAACAATGGGTCTTAATGACATTTCTTCTAATTCCTCTGTAACTCCCAAGATTCACCCGTATGTTAAAAGTGATCAGGGTCTAAAGTAAAGACATAATATGATCTACTCTGTATCACTGATGAACCTGATCCTAAGATAGATAGACGCTACTTGCCAATTTTATGTCATTTTTAAAAAGCCACACATTTTCTTAAATGCACTCAGTTCTCTTCTGATCTTTTCACTGCGGCAAGAACTGTTTTCATAGTTATGAACAGCTACAGAATGCCCTTTTTCCAGTGTGGGGGAATACAGTCATTTACAGAAGCAAAGAGCAACTCTCCCTTTCTTAAAAGGTTAGTTGTCTTTAAAAAAAAACATTTATTTTTAGAGAGAGGGGAAGAAAGGGAGGGAGAGAAACATCAATGTGTGGTTGCCTCTCCCATGTCCCCTATTGGGGACCTGGCCTGAAACACAGGCATGTACCCTGACTGAGAACCAAACCAGTGACCGTTTGGTTTGAAGGCTGGCACTCAGTCCACTGAGCTACACCTGCCAGGGCAAGATTACTCATCTTTAAAAACCTCATCAAATGCTTTATTTTTCCCCAAGCAGATCCTCCTTGACTGCTCTGGGTTTGAAATCCTTAGAGTTTCCATTACTTTGTTGGCAGTGCTTTGATTATTTATATATGTGTGTGCATATGTTCTCGCCTTCCCTGCGAGATCCCAGGCTCCTGTGTCTTAGAGGTCTTCCTGATGTCAAGCCAGCACCTAGCATGTGTCTGGCATACAACAGCCCCTGACTCACTGATTCAACAGGCAGCATTCTACCCCGTGCCAATGACCATCTCGGCCCTCCAGTCTGATGGATATTCGTGTACTGGGGCATTTTCTCATTCAGTCCTCATAACTGTCCAAGGGGAACACTGCTGTATGCCCCTTTTATAGACGACTATAGGTGAGGAAAGTGAGGTTAGAAGTCACCGCCGCCGCTGTGTAATCCACGGATCTAGATCTCACCGCTGTGACCTGCTGGCCCAGTCCTCGGTACTAACACCCCAGCGTGGTGTTCCCAAGAAGACACCCGGGGAAAGGACGCATTCCTTTCTCCTCTATGGGTGTGCCACGAACAGGCCGGAGAGGGAACAGAGGGTTCTCGCGATTCTTGACAGCATTTTCTGAACGTTACCACAGGGAAGTCCCCATTTGCAAGGGCTCCTCTGTCTCACGGCCCCCTCCACTCTGACCGTGGGCGCCTCGAGACAGCGCCGAGATTCTTTCCCTTGCAACTTCCGGAGCCCGTTCCAGCCTAGGCAGCACCAGGAAGAGAGCCCCCAGACAGCCCTAACTCTCGGGGACCCTGGGGGTGGGGACGGGGAGGAGTGACGACAAAGGGGCGGGGACCCGACAGCGGCGGGGCGGGGCCGCTCCTCCCCCGGACAGCCCCCAGGCCTCCCAGCTTCAGCTCCTTCCGGGCCCGCCCGGCGGCCGAGAGCCCTCCAGGGCAGTCGGCCGGGCCGCGGGTTCGCTCCGCCCGCCTGCAGCCTGCACTCCCGGGGCTGCCGCCCACCCGCAGGCCTCGGGAGCTCCGCGCAGGCCCCCGCGGCCTCGGCCCGCGTCAGAGCGGTGGCCAGCAGGAACCGGGCCTGGCAGGGCGCCCAGTAGCGTACCGCCCGCCCCCTGGGCCCGAGGCAGCCCAGCTTCGCCTCGCGTCACTCACATTTTGGCGACCTCGGCGGTGGGCGAGTGTCGGCGAAGCGGCGGAACGAATCCAGACGGCGGGGATCTGGGTGGGGCGGTGGCAGTGGCGCGGGGCCGATGACATCACGGGGCGGGACCAGAGGGGTGGGCGGGGCACGGAGGGGGCAAGAGGAGGTGGGCGGGGCCACGTGCGAGCGCTGGGGCGCTGAGCTCTTGGGAAGGGGTGGCTTTGCTGTGTGCGGGGGCGGTGGCGTGTGCTCCAGCTTTCCGCAGCCGCAGGTGCTGAGGCTGGGCAAGTGGCGCTCACGTGCTGCAAAGGGACTGTGCAGGTGAACGAGCTTGGGCCGTTTCTCTGGCGGCGACAATACTGGAGACAGCCTGTGTGTTCCTGCGCAATTCCCCACAGGAACCTAGTGGCCCCGCAGACACCACGTTTTTGCACGCAACCTGTTGAAATAGGAAGTCCATTGGGTGTATTTGTCACAGATAATTGATTGGGTTAGCTTCACTCTCTTCGTATTCATGACAAATATTTGTCATTGTACAGGCCGTGTTATAATCTGCGCGAGCCTTGCCCTGAGGCACTAGTTTCTCCACCGCTGTGTTCCTGGGCGTGGCATAGAGTAGGTCCTCACCTTTCAATGGCACGGAGGTGGAGGCAGGTATCTGAATGCCGAGGGTCACTTTGCACTCACTGTCTTCCGGTTATAACAGAAAGTATTCCTGCCAACAGACAACTCCTGAGTTAAAAAACAAAAAGCACTAATGGGTTGTCGACCGGCAGATTAGACGAGAAACGGAAATAAACGCGAACCTCTCTTTTCCAACTCTTCATGGAATAATTTATGGAAAGGGAACCATTAGCGTACATTAGAGTGAACAGCAAGGGAGGGTCACAGAGGAGAAGATGGGATTTGAGTTGGTAAGTAACCAAAAGGAGAACGTTCCAAGTGAGGGATGAACAAACGTCATGAACAAAGATACAAGTGGAAACAAGCATGGTTTGTACACACCAGAGGGCGCGGGCTGGGGCACAGGTGAAGTAAAGCTGGAATAAAGGGTGAGGACAAACATGAAAGGAAGATGTCATTTACATGCGGCTGGCTGAAGAAACCACTGCGGCCCCGTGGAGGTGGGAGATCACGCAGGCTGTGTCTGGCACTGTCATTGCGACAGGGTGGATGGAAGAGGGACCACCAGGGCACTGAGGCTCTGCCGTAAGAGGGAATGAAACGATGACAACGTCCTCAGAAAGGGAGACTGACAGTAGTCAGCTGGCAGGTTCCTTTTAACAAACTTCGGAGGGTTTTCACTGAAGAGGTGACTTTACACTGGTGTCTAGCTTTCAGATAACTGCACGGAGACGAGGGACTGACAGGCTGAGGGGTGCCGGGAGCTGAGAAGCAGGTGTTCCAGGGACAGTGGCTGTACTAAGGAATTTTCTCCTTCATGGACATGCCCCAAACCATGAAACAGTCAATGTCAACACATAAGTTCTGATATAAGGAAACATTTGAGATTATTTCATATGGTTTGAAACATGCCCATCACCTCGTAGTATCAGGTCGAGTTAAAACAACACACACACATAATATGGGGAAATTTTCTTCATTTTTAATTTACAGCAGAAAGAATATAAAGCATTCAGAAAACATTTTCCATATTTTAAGGGCAATTCAAAACATTTTGCATGGTTTCCAGCAGCTGAGTTCTTCAACAGATCCATTGATTCAACGATGCTTTACATGCACAATTACAAAAATAAAACTTACAAAAAAGAAGACATCTAGACTAGTTTTACATGCAAGTCTCAGGGACCCCCCATTGGGCGCCAACTACTGTGTGGAACTGCCAGAAGCGACCGTGCAGCCAGAGGGGTTCGAGTGAGTGTCTTTATTTCGTTCACACAGTACAGCTGATTTCAAATGGGTAACAAGAATAGCAATTAAATCTTCAGGAGACAGAATAAGATTAGCTATTAATTTTATAATGAAATCCTACTCCTGGCACTTGGGAATTCAGATTATCCAAGAAAGCTGCGCTTATCTATCATCTTATATTCAAAATTAAGATTCACAACCGAGAAAAAGCGGTCAGAAATGCTTCGTTTCAGTGGAAGTGTGTTTGTACCTCACCTAGGATTCACAGTTGTACTGCTACTTCCTGTCCCCTCCGCAAGAACCCTCCTAATTCTATGTAAGTCTTTACCTTCCGGAATTTTCTAACTTACTCAGCTAACAATGTAGCATGTGAAACATTTAAAAAAATAAAATAAATGTGAGGGTTAATGCAAACCCACTGAGGTCATTACTCTTGTCGAAAGATCAATTAGTTGTTTGTACCGTAATAAATGGAATGAACATTTCTAACTTCAGTGTTAATGTAGGATATTCTGAGAGAGCTGGCTTTCACATTCTATTCCCACTGATGGATGCAATTGTGTTGGAAAGTTACTCAGTGTCCTCCTATAGGTCAAATTGTGGAAAAACAATAGGTGTCCGGGGGGACTGCAACAGCTGTAACACAACCCGCACATTGAAAATAACGAAGTTGAGTCAGCTCGGTTTACAAATGTACAGATGGCTCCTCGTTGTGGGGCTGCCAGTGTTGTCGAAGCTGATCCCAAGCAGTGAGACGTATACTGTACAGTAATTTGAGGTTGGCAGTGAAAGGAAGGAATTAGAAAACAAGTACAATTATAGAAAAGGCACCAAGAGCACTGACCCCAGTTTTTACCACGATCTTTTTGTATCTACCTTCCTTCTAGAGACACCAGTTTAAAAGCTTATTTGTGAATATTTTCAGGCTTCACAACAAGCCTGGAGTTTAAACTTACAGTTGGCAGCCAGAACCAAGAAAAAAAAACTATAACTTCAGCTTTACAGCAACTGGTCCTGAAACTTAACCCGGGGGCTTTAAACTGGCATCAGCAAATGCGAGCGTGATTCTCTCAATTTAACATTAGTAGTTTGATTTTTAAAAGCATCAGATTTCTTTGGCTCCTCATTATGTGAAATAGTAATACACCACGGCATCCTATAAGACCAGTTTGCATCTTCTTCATTTTTAGCTATTTTTGTGCAATTTTTATTACATTTTCTGATTTCCAACAGGAGATATGAAAACGTGAGACATTTTTATGCCTTTCATACTATTTCTTTTGTCGGGTTTTGATCATTCTAAGTGTTCTTTGTTGGAGCGAGTGGATGGTGTTAAGCTGTATACTGATTCATCTTATGATTATCTGTTTAGCAAAAGTAACTTAATTTTCTTAAGCAATTATTAGCATTCACATTACTTGGCACCATTGGCAAAAAAAATTTTAAATAAAATAAAATAAACTCCTGGTAGCCAAAATTAAATGTAAACATATCCTTTTTTTTTAAGTAATGTTACTCTGCCTTTTTTCCTAAGTCTAAATACAGTAGCTCTTTTTTTAAAATTTTTTTTGCAGTTTAGTCATGCTTTAGCAAAATGTTCTTCTAAAGAACATTTAAAATAAAGTACTCTTATAGTGAAATAAAGTTTTTTGTTTCATTTTACAGACCATAGCCACTAATGCTTTGCTTTTGTTCGTTTCTTTTTTCTTGATTTCATGCACATATCTCTTTTGTTTTACTATATACAATATATACAAACAATACATCCACATTTTTCTTGCTCATTCAGACAAAACTATACAAATAATTTCATCTTGCCATGTTATTGA